CATGAAGACGACTGTACACCCTAACAAGCATATACACACACAATAATTAAGAAACATACACACTCATACGTTCACACGCACACATACACACCACAGTCCAGGGTGGAGCTTCACTACCAGCTGTGTTTACTAGTTGCCAACACGACCACGAGACTTTCCTCCCTCAAGCAAACATATTGATCAATGATCACCCCAACACCACAACACTATCCTAACACTATTCTTACCATATCACCACAGCTGTATTATTAACAGATACAACAAAAATACTCTTATGAGTCATCACAATATTTATAACAATCACCACAATACTCATGTCACCACAAAATTCCACTTATAATCATTCCTACACGAGACTAAATCACTCTTACACATGACTAAATTACTTTTACATGAGACTAAATCACTCTTACATGAGACTAAGTCACTTACATGAGACTAAATCAATCTTACACATGACTAAATTACTTTTACATGAGACTAAATCACTCTTACATGAGACTAAATCACTTACATGAGACTAAATCACTCTTACATGAGACTAAGTCACTCTTACACGAAACTAAATCACTCTTACTTGAGACTAAATCACTCTTCCATGAGATTAAATTACTCTTACATGAAACTAAATCACACTTACACGAGACTCACGCCCGTATTATTAAACAACATCTTCCCTTGAAGAGGCTCGTCGTGTTTCAACCCGAGTTTTAAACTAAATGAGTCCTGAGGGACACCGCAGTACAGCACTTAACGGGGTGGTGTGGCGGTAAGATTAACGAAGTCCAATAAAACTAATTTTTAATATTGGAATTAGTTAATCTTACCGCCACACCACCCCGTTAAGTGCTGTACTGCGGTGTCCCTCAGGACTCATTTAGTTTAAAACTCGGGTTGAAACACGATGACCCTCTTCAAGGGAAGATGTTGTTTAATAATACGGGCGTAAATCACTCTTACACGAGACTAAATCACTTTTACACGAGACTAAGTCACTCAACTTAACACAGTCATTCAATGAGACCTGCTTTATTGTCAAGATGACATACAGTAACTCCAGAATCATCTTAATCACTCTGTGTTCCACCTTTTCAAGGGACGTTAGATCTTTCTGGAGGTAGGGATTCCATGCCTGTATACAGTAACCTATATTTTGAAGAAAAAAAAGAAAAAGTAAAAGGTTAGTGAAACAATGTAACAATCTTTCTATATATTTTGTTTTAAAATACAGCATACACAGACACTCAGGGAATCCTCAATAACAAATGGATTACCTCATGTAACTTCAAATAACCCTTAAAATACACCATTATGTACCAGCACTGGGGATCTTCTTGGAAATGGGAATCATCTAGCAAACAAGACAGATATAACTCTCTAGGAGTTTTTCCAAACAATATTCATTGGTGATTAAACGAAGAGGCTGGTGTGCATTTTCTCTTACTGTAGGATACAAAAACATTAACTTGAATCTTTGTACAACTGTGATAACATTTCTTGGTTGAAGTTAAGTTGTGTACTACACACACACACACACACTCGTACACAGTATATACTGTATGTTACTTTCGGGGCAAAATCGGTGTTTTTGCAAATTATTCAGTCAATTTGCAAAGAAACTAAAAGAATAGTAATTTTACAAAATAACCTTAAATGTTTGATAATTTTGCAAAAAGACACAAAATCGTCCAATTTCCAAAATCACCGATAATCTTGTGGGTGTATTTGCAAAATCTCTTGTTCTAATACAGTAGCACCCCCAATATTCCCTGTATTTTATTGATCATTACTACTAGCAGTCTGCCTTAAAACTTTAACTGGATGAAAGAAAACTGAAGGATTTTAATAGATGAACTAATGTTTATTTCAGAAGTTGCACTCATGGTACACAAATTTCTCCTTCCTTCCATTCATAGTTGGTCACACTGCTGATCCACTGTTGGTCATGATGAGAGCACAGCTGAGGCACAAATGCTTACCCTGGTGTCGCAGAGGTCACCTCACCACCTCGCTACTGCCTCGGGATTGGCTAATCTAAAGTGGTGTGACGCAACACCAAGTCATGAACAGTGTTTAAACTGATGAACAAGGTAGTTTAACGGTCTGAGTGACAGTAGCTCTCACCTGTTTGGAGATTTTGCAAATTTACCAATTTTTTTGTTTTTTTGCAAAATGATCAAACATTAAAAGACATTTTGTAAAAATATTATTCTTTTGGTTTCTTTGCAAATCGACAGGATAATTTGCAAAAACACAGATTTCGCCAAAAAACTTAATTATATATATATATATATATATATATATATATATATATATATATATATATATATATATATATATATATATATATATATATATATATATATATATATATATATATATATATATATATATGCAAGTAAATCACTGTGGGTGCGTGAGTCAGGTATATGCTGATAACACAAAAGAAAACACGAAGTTCTAAAGCGCTTTAGGTGTAATTCACCCTGAGATGTGAATTACACAGCAAATTTTTTCTTTATATATATATATATATATATATATATATATATATATATATATATATATATATTGGTCCCCTGAATAATTGAAGATGGATACTGAAAAGGGGTTGAAATATTTTAATTTAAAATGGATTTGTTAACTTCTTTATGGGAAATAAGGGGCGAGCACAATTTTTGTTGTTAAAATCCTCAAAAATTACTTTTCAAACACCATTTACAACTTTTACTTCAGAAGCAAACCTTTGAATATCCTGTATGGAGTTTGCATAGCATACCCATAATTTGCATTAACTGGAATATATGGATAAAGGAATCTGGTAAGACTTGGCTTGACCAGGAGGTGCATAAATATACAGTACAGTACAGTACAGTACAGTACTCTTTCTTTGTTGTTGTTACAATAGTGACAGTTATCTGGCACTTCTTATTCAGGTTTGCCAAGGCATCTACTGTATGTTTTTGGCCAAAATGTGATGACACCTTGAAAGACAAGGCTGATATACATAACTTCACTGGTATTTTATTTTAGGATGTTTCAAATGACCAAGATACGAATTGTGATCCCTCAGGACCACTCTGTGAGTGTATGTACTGTATCAGGCTGGAGTAAACAGAAGTTTAGAAGTGACAGCAGTTCCTTTAAAAACTTGCCATAATTCTTTTAAGTTAGTTGCGCGATTTCATTTCGCGTTTTTTAATTTCGCGAGCACTACCTATTGTGACTAAGTCTTATATTTGGCATAAAATATCGTGAATTTTGTGAGATCCAGCCAGCTGAATGCGAGATCCAGCCAGCTGAATGCGAGATCCAGCCAGCTGAATGCGAGATCCAGCAAGCTGAATGCTGGCCACCGTCTTGAATGACGTCACAGCCCTCATACCAGTTACAGTCATTTCTGCTACAATGCGTGTTTTGCCAACACGAATTAGTTGCAACGCGATTGATGAATAGGGGAACGCTGTTTGTAAAACGCGAACTTTTGCCTACGAATGGTGGCTATAACACAATTCCATCCTTAATGTTTTGATTCCATCCTCAACGTTTTAAGTGTGGCACGGGGTTATGCAATGTTTACAGTTCACATTCGACATCACACGATCAATTGATTCGTGTCTTTTGTTTGTGAAGTGTTTGTTTATTTTGGGGGGGGGCAAATTTAGCTATTACCCATAATACTGTATGAAAAGAATAAGTAAAAAGAATGTTTCGCAGTGAGGACTAATAACGGTTTACACGAGCGCTCTCTGTTTACATCACATGATCAGTTGAATCACGAGGTTTCTGTCAATCACTCCCCGATTTTCGCTATTTTCTCCAATTTTGTGTTAGCGATGAATACGGAAAGACAAGGTAAGAAGAATGTTTCCAAAAAGCGTTCTGGTGATCTAATTGCCGGTGGTGAATGTAAAAGAGGTTTACATGAACGCAACTATCGCGTTGTAGCCAAGCCATCCTACGAATGCCTGGGCTGCTATTGTGTGCTTTTTTGGGTTGTGCTCTCACCTGTCGAGCCAAGATAATGGCCTCTACCTCTACTGGGGGTCCTACTGATGCTGGTGGGGGTGGGACAGACCCACCTACATAGCCAAATAAGGAAAAGAAGAAGCAGGACTATCATAAGGGAGTTAAGTTTGCCAAGTATTTGATGCAGGATAAGCAGCGTGTGATTAAATTACTTGAGGAAGGCCTAAAAACTAGTTTCCGGAAAGCACAATCAGGTCAATAAAGGCAGAATTTGTATCATTTGGAGGTTATAAATGGGAAAATCAGAGGTTGATGTAGAGTGGCCAGTCTATATTGTTATTTTTCCCATTAGTTTATGTAGTATTTGCATTTGGCGAATTTGAATTTTGCGCAATTTTTCCAGTCTATATTACTCACGAAATACAAGATCTTACTGTACAGTATTTCCAACCGTTCCCCAGCTGTGAGCTATATGTTATGCTATAGTTTTTTCAACTCATAATATTGGGTAGATATATGTAGTGTTCTTCGTTTCCTTTACTCAGTTACATACACACTCAATCTTACATACAGAAAGTGAAAACAAAAATAATAATTACCATAAGGTAAAAATTATTTTTCAACTCATAATTTCTTGTTAATGTAAGTTATAAAACTAAAGTATAAATCATTAAAATATCACCTGTACAAAAAAATTGGGGGTCCTATAAGACAATGGAAATATAACTTAATGAAAACCATAGATTAATTTTCAAATGGCCAGGCAATACCTATTACTGTACAAGTACTGTATCTCCCAATCAGTCCCACCATTTGTTTGCGACGTGTGTGCACTGTAATGGACCGTATTTTTTCAACTACAAATACCGAGGCAATGGATTCAAACCAGGGAATGAAACCTTCCTCTTTTTGGGACCAAGAGAAAGCTACCAGCATACCGGTACATCATCGACAAATAAGTGCAAATTCTGTGAGACTTGAAAGTGCACCAGGTTCCTCACAAGAATTGAGGGAGGGCAGACATAAGTGAGTACAATATACAAATACAGTACAGTACTGTGTTTATTATCTACAAAGTTGTGTTTAGTATGTACAATACATTGGTGTAGTATCGGTATGTGAGACTGACCAACATTAACTTTTATTAATGACTTTAAAAAATGTCTTTTTCTTTGCAGATACTGTATTAAGATTTTTGAAGAGTACGGTAGTCATAAGTCTTGAAGCTCAGAATAAAAGCCCCCTTTTTCACATAAGAAGTTAATTATGCATCAACATGATCTACACAAAATATTGTAGAAAGTAATCATACATCAATCAAGGGATATATATATATATATATATATATATATATATATATATATATATATATATATATATATATATATATATATATATATATATATATATATATATATATATATATATATATATATATATATATGAAAAAAATCTCTCATTCAGGCATTGTGGCTGTGATCCTCAGTGCAAAGATAACAACAAATACACTTTCAAGGTCTGTTCTCACATATCCATTTGGCCGAGAACAGCCAGAATTGAATGGTGATGTGCTTCATAAAATAATGTTTGGCCAATGAAGGGATTTTAAGAGTTATTTCCTTTTACAAATTAGGAAAAAATTGCCTGCAGGTGATACCACTGATGCCTAACTCAAGGAACAAGCTTAAGGATGCAACGTTACTCAGAATTCACTCACAAGATGAATTAACCCCTTGATAATCAAGACATCATTTATAATAAAGATGAAATTTGGCTCATCTCTAAATTATCTGATGAATAACATATCATGGAAAAGTCCAAAAGGTCAAGGTAAATCCAGAGTGATTGTAGCTCAACAAGAAATCCACTGTACATCCACTCTGGTCAAACCAAACCTTGGACAACCATAAGATAGATACAGAAATGTGTGAAATATTAACAAAAGCTGCAGCACTTCTACAAAAGCCAAATTTAATCAAATAAATAAAATTAAAATATGATTTACAACAATAATATTAATTATAGTATTTTATTTCAACAACAATAAAAATATGCAGAGGAATAAATTGTAAGTAATGAATTTATCGAAGAGAAAGTCACTATCATGTATGAATGGGTGGTTGGAAAACCTTTTTCATTATTGCATGTTGGTGCTGGATGAGAGGAATGGAAAGGAAAAGACCATATTTTCTACTTACAATGGCTCTATGTGACAGATATACCAATACTTTAAATATCATTGGCATCCGCAACTTCGTAGGCCACAAATCCACACTTGATCACCTTTCTTTAACTTCCTCTTCCAAAAGGTAAAACAGTGTCCCTCACCTAATGCTTATACAGGCTTTACTTTCTTTTACAGTTCAGAAACTCACATTATTCATTTTCTATAACACAACATTCATAATCACCATTAGTACAACTTTGAAAATATACTAATCTGAATTATCATGATTTTGTTACTGTGTGGGTACTGGTTGGTGGCTCACATGAACTTCCATCAGGTTTTGATATTTAACATAAAACGTCCTGATACTGGAGCGTCTTGATTCTAGACACATGCTTTACAAATCCTGATGTTCCACGCTGCCAAGTCCTGGATACATGAAACATCAAGTCCTGGCAACTGAGTTATTTCCTGATACCTGAGATACCAGGTTGAATAGATACCTAAGAAGTATCTGTTGTTTATTGTCAAGGCAGTTGCAAAATAAAGGAATATGGAATACATCTCTGGAAGAGTGATCCACTGGAAATACAGTATTAACAAAGCAAATATATATTTCATTGGTATGATTTTCTTTTTTCACCCTTCCAATCTCAAGGAGATTACAACCTCTTGGGAAACCCAGTCCAGTTAAGTGCTTTCAACACAATTGGACAACCAGTGCATTCACTATAAGCTGATGAACTTACTCCAATTAGGATATATGTATATAACTATAAAATAAATATAAAAGTAATCGGTCTGTGTTTATGATGCCTTGGTTGATGAAGCTGTGTTATTAGTACAGTATATTCATGGACTTCAGAGCAGCCCAGGATGATGGCCAATATTCACACATCTATATCCAAACTGGTTTTGACACATTAAAAAATATGGTACTCTGGAAAATTGATTGACAAATGAAGAAAAACAGTAAAATAATTTGGCAGTATTTATACATACTCTCTTCTCAAAATAGAAAAGAGTTACATTATACAACCACCAGGAAGTGATTATCAATATCAATGTCCTTTGACTTTATAAAGGTGACTAGATTTTACTTTTATAAAATTGAACACAACCAATTAGCTGATCCATGCTCCAGTTACTTAACATTTATAGAGGTTACACACAACATCTATTTTTACAACAGATGGTGGTGATGACTATATTCTGTGAGTACATTACTGACATTTATTAAACATGATGTCAGAGTAAGCTCAGTACCAGAGGTTGTTATAGTACTTACATGTACTTCACTATTGTCTTAAGCCTTACACCATAATCATGTTTATTAATGGAAAAAATTTTCAGTTAACTAGTGCTGTATATTTCATGGACTGGTCCCATGAAAATCATCGAATATGAATCATTACTGGTAACAAGAGCATAAAATTGGAAGTCTCTTATAATGAAAACTATTGGTAAAGGTAACTGAATGGTTTACAAAACTGGCTTATAATAAAAGACAGACATGAGTTTTTCTGGGTATTCACGGTTCAGTTGTTATATGAAGTGTCGGCACACATGGTAGTCCTTCTTATAAGAAACTTTACTCAATAAGAAAATATAATTTATAATGAACATGTATGTTAACACTGTGCTTCTGAGTTTTTAATAAGAGAGCTCTCCAACTGCCAGTCTATAAGTACAATATTATATTGCACAACATCAAACACCATATATAGTATAGGCTGCTAATGACAACAGTAACTATTTTAATGGAATAACAGTCAAAGGTCTGCTTTTACCATAATTCAGGTACTGTCGTGAACATCATGTAAACGTCTTCTCTTCTGTTGGACAACACTGCATTTTCACTATGGTGTTCAGTAGAGACCCAGACCCTGTGACCAGCTTTGTAGCTGTGGGATATAAATTCTCTTATTAAACTTCTGTTATGGAACACAAAGGGTATAAATTATAGGCTGCTGTATACAGTATACATAAACTACTCATGTGATTATAAAAATAACTCATCACCATTACTCAAGAAACATCATTTTGTAATGACAGATCACATAAGAATCATTAAGTATTTAAGAATCCATCCATAACTCATTCACAAGTCTAAAAAGAATACAACCCAGCTATATTTCATGGTATGGTTGCCAAGTATTGAACCAGAGCATCAAGAGTAGTACAACTAAGAGGACTGAAAAGTACCACCCATTTTTCATTACTCTCACATATTAAATATCTAGGAAAAATAAAAGTAAAAATATATCTAATACATCTAAAACCTGAGTATCCTTAATAAATCTAATGACTGAAGACAGACAAGAAACCCATCACATACAAAGCTCTCCCAATATCCAAAAATAAACAAATACACAAATAAATAACATATGCAAACAAAAACAAAAACACGGACAAACATATATTTACATACAAATTAAAATATACGCACACACGCGCACGCACGCACGCGCGCGCGCACACACACACACACACACACACACACACACACTGGAAAGAAAACAAAAATAAAAGGAAACAAATTAAAAATGAAAAAGGCGACATATCTTTTATCTTAGGCACCATCACCTATCTTCACAAATAACACAAGAAGTCCAGGAAGACCAGCCACCACAAGCAGCACACACAATGTCAAACAGTTTCATTCCGCACCTGAGCAGAGCCGTCTTCCTAGTTCCCCCAGATGAAGGTCAGTTGGTTAATATGCAGTACCATGCTTACAATTTCAATTTTGTACCAGTGGATTAATATCATTAAAGATTAATGGATAACTGAAGAATATTTACGTGTTTTAGAGGACAGTAAACCCTCAATTTTGGTGTATTATAATTTCTATATAATGCATCACATACTTTTAGACCACACATCTGAAGAATCAACCTGTACAACATTATGCTGTCAACTGCAGCACCTACTGCTAGTAGAGGTTTGTTACTTTTTTTTGGGGGGGGGATAAAGAAGGAGTTGAAAAATTTGTAGTAGAGTTCAAGAAACTGATGGATGAAGAGGATTATCTTCCACAGCAGGTTTTTAATGTGGATGAAACTGGGCTGTTCTGGAAGAAAATGTCCAAAATGACATTCATCACCAGAGATGAAGCTGCTTTACCAAGGCATAAACCCATGAAGGACCGTCTCACTCTATTTCTTGGTGCCAATGTTTCAGGGGATTTCAGACTGAAGCCTATGCTCATATACCACTCTGAGAACCCCAGGGTGTTCAAGCAACAAAAGGTGGTAAGAGGACAACTTGGGGTTTATTGGAAGTCAAACCGTAAGGCATGGTTAACGAGACAGCTCTTTAATGAATGGGCAGTTGAGGTGTTTTGCCCTACTGTGAAGAGTTACCTCACCACCAATAAACTCCCTTTAAAGGCTCTTCTCCTTCTGGATAATGTTTCTGGTCATGACCCCGAACTTACCAGCACTTTGGAGGCTCGATTTGACTTTGTCAAAGTTTTGTTTTTGCCTCCCAACACAACATCAATTATGCAGCCAATGGACCAAAATGTAATCAGCAACTTCAAGAAGCTGTATATGAAGATGTTCAGAAGGTGTCATCAGGCAACTACCACTGATTCTGATCTATCACTGGCACAGTTCTGGAAGACGCAATACAACATCCTGGAGGCTGTAAAATTTATCGTGTCAGCATGGCAAGAAGTTTCTACTCGATGCCTGAATTCTGCATGGAAAGCACTGTGGCCATCAGCAGTCCATGATTTTGAGGGAATTGAGGAAGAAACAGAGTTGGACAGGGAGATTGTGTCCATTGGTCATTCAATGGGACTCGAAGTGGAGGAGGATGATGTTGAAGAGCTTGTGATATCGCATGAGCACGAACTTTCTCCTGAAGATTTGAAACAACTGGATGAGATGTTAGAAACAGACAGTGATGAGGAGGAAAAGGAAAGTGATGACCATATGTCTTCTTCAGACTTAAAAGATGTTGTTCACTACTGGGAGATGTTTAGGAAACTGGCTTCAAGGCACCCTGATGTGGAAACAACAGAACCGATATTGTGTGTCGTGGAGGACAGATGCTTCCCCTCAGTGTTGCTCTTCAAAAAGGAGAGAGGATTTTCATGTTAGAGAATCTGTCAGTCCAGAGGTTCCTGACATTATTATGGAAGGTGACTCCGTCTTCCAAGAAGCATTAAAATGCTTCTCTTCTCCCTTCCCCTCCTCCACCCCCCCACTTCTAATTCCCATCATCATCATCATCAACCAGCAACATTCTACATATACACCTCAAAGTAAGTGTACTTTACTGCACTTTGTTTATACTTTGTATGTACTTTTCTGTGAGCTGGAACCAATTGAAATAATGGATTCGGTTAACGAAATTTTCAGTTAACGAACGACTCTGTGGAACGAATTGCGTTCGTTAACCGAGAGACCACTGTAACTGTATTTAGTACAAACACGTCATTGGTGTGAGGGGTTGAAAAATAATAATGTATAAGTTAACACCTTTAAAAATTTAGGTATTTATTTTCAAAAAAATTTGATTCTAAGAGTGTTAAATTTTTGTGAGACTCAAAAATGGAACCCATCACAATATTTCCCATAAGAAATAAGTTCAATTTGTGCAAATTTAACATACAAGAGACTTTATAAAAAATTAACATTTGTGTATTTCAAGGGATTACTGTATTAGTAAGAGAAAAACTTTGATTATTATTACTTGTACAGTTATGAACATAAAGAATTTGGCAGGCAGGGAGGTGGTGTATGGGAGGTGGAGACTTGGCACCAAGACATAGAGGTGGCAGTTAAAAGTCTGCAATTTTCTTTCCTCACCACAAATTTATTTATTTTTAGTTTAATTATGAAACAGGAACAGCTTACACCCCCTCCCTGCTAGTCTTTTTGTTCACAACTATTCACCTTATTAGAAATGATACGAAAGCCAAACCAAACAAAATAAATGGAACACAGAAAATAACTCTCACTCATGTTATGTTACAAGACTTCCTCACAACACTGATAATACTATGGAACACCTAAAAAGATAAAAGATTAATCTATTCTCTTCAAACCTTCTGCATACTGAAAAATTTTTAATACAGTATTAGTACAGTAAGTAATGCATCCAAATAATGAACACTACTTCAAATACATTCCTTTTAATACAACCACCCAAATATTAATAAATGGTAACACAATTACTGTACATTAAATTAACACATGCCGATGCTAAAGGTTAAATCCACAAACTAAGTTGTGGTTGTGGGCTGTGAATGCCTGCTTGCCTGCATCATCACAGGGTCTTGGACAGATCACAACTTTCTTCTCCTAATAGTGTCGAATGGACTGTGCTGGGTTCTGTTTGCAGCTGCTGGTGAGGAGCAACCCATGTGTCAGGTCAGATTTTTTTCATAGGTAACTAAGTACAGTTTGGACTACGTTACTCCTTTGTTAGCTCACACATAAAAATCTTTAACTCTTTGATATCCTGATTTGCAGTACAGTAGTTTGTCACACTGTAGTTTGAAATTATCGCCTAGTTTCTTTTACCACACAATCTGACAAATGGCTATGTTGAAGAGTTAATCATGTTTTTTTCATTCATAGATGTAATCTTAGATCACCTTCCAAATGTTATTAGTTTATATATTACTATGACACTTTATAATCAAATATTTATAATGAAACCTCTCAGTAACAAATATCTTGTAGACCAATAATTACATTCTTCTTTATCATAAACCAATTACGGTAATCATCCTTCTTATTACTCCATCTAGTTAAAAACTTATACAGGTACTGTAACTTGATTAGTCATAAATATCTCTATGAAAATATATTTTCTGCACTGAATCCATGAATCTCTTACACTTTATCATTTCCCCCAAATCTTAATCTATACTTTTCTTCATCTTTATTCACTCATTAACCCATCACAATAAGATTTACCCAACCATCCAATAAATCGATTGCTCTTTTAAGTTTACTCCAGAATGAGTTCTTCCATACTCCTCCCTAGAACTGTTAGTCTACGCTATACTCTAATATCAGTTTAAATTCTGATACCCCTGATATTTAACCTTTATGAGGGTGATCGTTAATATACGATGAGCGTTTCTTGTCCCGCAGTGACAGTGATCACTCATATAATCAGGATCTTTCCGCACCATAATCTTTAAGTGAATTATTGTGGCTCATGGCAACATTTCCTTACCTAGGTAGGTCCCTCCCCAATAGGCAGAAAGCATAGATCATTCTTCTAACATCATTTACTACAAACTACAGAGCTTAATTTGTTGCATACTGATCACTGATGTATTCAATATTACATCACTTTGCCTCTGCCACTTCTTTTAACAATATGATGTTGCCAAGCAGTTAAACTGAATAAAAATGGGGATAAGTCTTATAAAAGGAACAGCCATTAAAACACCATTTAGAACTGTTAAGACAAGCAGTTCTTGTTTTGAGAAAATTAAATCTGAAATGTTTAAAGTCTTACTGGAATATCATGGTCATCAGACTACTGCTGAGAACTTGACTGAGGGGAGCCACATAAGGGAAAGGCTGGGAAACTTTGAGGAGCAACTTTGCCCTCAGTCTTGTACTCAACCTCTTCTGTTTCAACCCTCATACCCACCCAATTCCCTCTGTTTACTCTAGTTCTGATAGTTCTCTGTCCACTCACCAGACTCTGACGATGTTCTTCATGATCCAAGATCTCCTGTTGTTGTTGGCTATCAAACTTCACTACTGCACACAGGACTTTACTCAATGTCTGTAAGCAGAAAGACAATAATAGTTTAAAGATTCCTCCTCACAAGAGAAGCTATAAAAAATGTTGAAAACAATATTAATATAAACAATCTATAACTCCAACACCACCAACCATCTACATCAACAACACCACCAACATCTATAACATCATTACCACCATCTTTACCAATACAGAAGTTAATTGTACTGCAATATGACTCACCTGTGTTTCCTTGCCAAGCATATATTGGTAAAGGATGTTCTTTAAATACTCAAACTCTGCCGCTTCCTCTAACGCCATTCCTAATCTTGTGCCAGTAACACCTCCACCAACACCACCTCTCGTTCTTCTCTTCAATTCCAGCAAGGCTTTGAGCTCCCCAATTTCCTTCCTGAAATAATGCCCAATTTATAAAAACAGAAGGAAAGCACTCAAGAATTTTTTTTGGTCATACAAAGAATAATTTGGACCTATGTCATTATCAAATTAAAAATACATAAAGTAGTTTCACCTATTATAGAATGACATTTCTTAAATCTGTGCCACATACAGTTACAAGTAGCTTAAGATGGTAGACACCTGACCAAGTGAATCTTATTTCCCCATAACAGATAAGAAAAAAAAAAGGAACACGTGTACAGAAGAGAAAAAAAATTGTGTAACCAATTTCTCACAAAATACAGAATAGTACACCCATGCCACATAACAAAAATGTAAATATTACTTATGAAATAACAGCTAAGCATTCAAAAATAAGGACTATGGAAGTTGAGACACAATTATCTTGGTATTGACTGGGAATGTCATAGTATGAGTTGTGAACTGTGCACTGAATGTCATGGGATTTCAAGCTCAACAAATATGTGCTTTCTATTATGTTTTGACAGGCACTGAGATATAGCATAATACAGTCGATATCTGTTGGGCCAAGAGAACCCATACATCAGCTAGGATTTTTAATTATACAGTATATGGTGTGGCAAACCCTCAGCATAAAATAAAGCAACATTTACAGTGAATCTTCACAATTCCAGAAAAAACAGGCAGAAGGCCAGTCTAGAAACAGAAATTGTCTGATATTGGAGAGGAATCCCTATTGGAACCCACTTTGTTTGAGTGATTAAATGACACAAGGCTGTAAATCTTACATTTGTCTCATGCTTGGAAGCCATCTCTAGAACACTTGTGCTATGGTATTCAGATGGATGCAATTTTCAACTATGTTTGATATTATCAATGAAACTGGAGAGCAAATATAACCAGAGTAAAATTAATCTTCAGTCAGCACAAGGAGACAAATAGTTTACAGTATTGTAAAAGGAAAAACTTTTTTACTGGCTAGCATTTTTTCTTCAGCTTGTCACTTCCACAAGAAATTAGAGTTAAGCAACCCTACACAAAGCATTGTACTTTTAAAAATTATGGTATCACCAGTTCCTCCTCTTTCTCTATTACTCACCCATGGTTCATCTTAACCTCCTCCAGTTCCCTGCGCTGAGCTGCCACCTGTTTCTTGAGGAGCTCCACTGACTCGGTCCCACTTCGGAAAGCTGCTGCAGCTACTTGAGTTAGTCGTTCTAGTTCCTGCCAACCATAAGAAATAGTGTAAAAAATCAATAAATAAAGAAAAAATTATATCAAAATAAAGAATACCAAAATAACAAAACTATTATATCCTGGAGTGACAATGAGCTATATGATGAATGTGATATGTCAACAACAGTAATAATTCACCTTCAGAAAATTCACAGCAGCTCAGTTACCCTACAAGCACCATGGTGGAAGGATGTTTATTGGAAGATAACGGTACATTTAGCTACTAGCAAACATGGCAACATGGGATGATGCAATTTACTGCTTTGATTTGGGGGGAAGGGGAGGACGACAGTGACTTGTTTTATACCCTCCTTTGTTTCTGATGAGCTTGTCTTTCATCAGTCATGGGTCCTACGTTAGTACATGAGGAAACTGTTGTACTCAAGATATTTGGTAAGGTCACAATGATGACATCCTTCTCACATCCAACTTTGGATTAACCCTGGGATGCAGTGGTGAGAAGCAAGTGTACCCAAACTTTTGTATTCTAAAACAATTTCATTTTTCACAGGCCCCCTGAAGGGTTCTCCAATTTTCTGATATAAAAGGAGATGGAGCAAGTAGCACCTCCTAGAAAGGAGACATTAGGCAAGGACCTGGTTCCAAACTCTGAATATCAGCCACACTGAATCATTAAATCCTAGATCCTTATTCAGACATTTATAAACAGGCCAGGGAACCCTTACTGGTTAATCACTTTATGTTAACAAGACAGGCAAAGTTACTATGGTGAGTCTAAGTTACACTACTGTACCTAGCCACTGGATGCAGGAGTCAGACCTACACAACAGACTCACTAATAAGATTTGATGCGAGTCATGGTTCTGGAAGCAACGCACGCACACACACACACTCACACACACACACACACATATAGATGGATGGCAACTTTAAATATAATAGTGCACCAATAATGACAGAAAACGTACCTGGGGGTTCTCAGCTGTCTCGGCCACAGGACTCTAGAAGATTAAAACCAAAAACTTGGATAAGGAAAAAACCCAAAAATATTCCAATGATCCTGGTCAGTACAGTATAAAGGACTCATGCAGTGGGAACCTGTTATACCTAAAGTGTTTTACATCATGTGTCTCTTAACACACAAATAATTATGCATAATACTACAGTAGATACTTTTTTTGTAGTTGTGGTGGTAGTGATGAGTGAGTGATGGTGAAGGTAACTAAAATGATGGTGATGATGATGAAAATGTTCTAGCTGATGTTGAAACAATTAAATTTAGACACAATATGTCCCCACATAATGAACTTCAAAATAGCTCTGGAAAGACTATAAAGAACAATGTGGGATCCTACACATACCATCAGCCTCCTTCCCCTGTCATGACTGTGGTGGCTGTTATTTAAATTACACAAAATATTGTGTGGTGGGGGCATATAACATATAGCAATGAGTGTACAGTATAACACAATAACCAATATGAGAGTAAGTTTATTTCTTTAGACAGAGATAAGAGTGTATAATATTGAACCGGTGATTAAGCATAAAACATCAGATGTATAACAGGTTCACACGGGGAAACTCAAGGCGAGCTACAGGTGCATTCCATAACAAGTTCTTACTGTACAGTATATGTATCTGCTTTTAAAATATAACAACATTTTTATGCAGGAGTCATGCATACGGGTTTATTTAATTAACATCAATTATTAGGTTAAGGATTTACCAATAAAGGATCTGATAATGAGACCATATCAGGGGATTGAATGATGATTTGAAGACATTTTTAGGTATGCAGTCTTTTAAACTTTTCTGTCTTGGCCAACCTCTTCATGGAGAGTTCCCAAAGAGAACAAGGCATTACACATGAGGACCCACTGGCAGATATATCAAAATACCAATAAAAACAATAAACTGCTTTCCTCCCTAAACTCTTCAGGTCCTGACTGGTGTACAATCTCAAGAAAAAGATGAGTAAGTCATTACAGGACCTATGTTTATATAACAACAAATGAGAGAGATTTAATTTATGAGGTAAGTGAGTAATCTTTTATTACCTCAGGAAGTTGCAACTGTGCCTTGCCAGCTGTTCTCACCCTGTGGAGTGGTGTTAGAAAGGGCATCCAGCTGTAAAACTTTGCTTCAATTTGCCTGAAGGAAACCAGGTCACTAAATCTGTGCCTATCCCCTGATTTCTGTTTTTTCTTCTCCTGGGTTGGCACCCTAGGATTGCAGTGGTGAGAGGGTTGGGGGGGGGCTTCCTATTCTGGTTTTGCTTAACACATAACATCAGGTACGGTAATTGCAACTAACTCATGCAAGTGTGGAAAATGGCCATAAAATTTTGATGGTGAATTATAATTAACAAACACGTGACACTAAAAAATTCTGAAGAAAATAAGAACAGAATTACATGAGGATGTTGGGACATGACACTGGTAATTATTATACAACGTAATAAAAATTTTTACATTTCCAATGTACTGTTCTCAGCTTCTATGAAAGGTGTACCATGCAGATCTAGTCAAATGTTAGTGATAATAAATAAGGAATATCCTTAGTCAGGTAAGCATAGTATCTATGTACAGTATATAAGAAAAATAACTGATAAACTGCTGGTTACTTAAAACACAGCACTCAAGCATCACTCACTCATAACACTAAAACATAACAAAATCAAAATTCCAGTGGTTACACACAGTGTGTTCATACCCTGCGCTCCTTGTTCCACTCCTGTGAGAGTGCATCTTTCTCCTCTTGGAGCTGCCGCTCCCGTTGCCGCACCATCCTCTCTGCACGGGATTTCCACGTGGCCTCCACCTCCTTGATGTGAAGTTCATGGTTCATGTTGAGGGATGCTAGTTGTTCTTCATACTGTTGGACAAACTTGCACAGTTCTTCATCTTTTTCCTGAAGTTGGCCATTTGAAGGGATATTGGGAGCGTGCACATTTGGGTGCGTCATTGTTAAAGGAACGTAGTTATAGGTGAAAAAGATGGTATGTCAGTGGAGTTGTAAAGGTAGCAGCAGGCAGTTCAAGTCATGGTGCATCACACCATTTGAAGTGTCATGCATTATTGTTAAGTTTTATGATTAAGTGAATTCATTAACAAGAAGATAGTGAACTCAAATACACCAGTTTGGTGACCACAATCATATATTCCACGAGACACAGTAGGACCATGTCAACATTTGATAGTGTACAATATGATCCATGATGGAAAGTCAATCATTGATACAATGGCAGTACCAATGAACACATTTTAGATCACATCATCATTATTTAAAGTTTCACGTACGCAAAGTTTAAACAGCATATGGAAGAGCAATTATAATTCGTTTGGATTTTGATTGTGACGACAAGACACACGATGACGATCCATGTGAAGATGTCATTCCGGGATCAAACATGTAGGGAGAAAAGGGGCAAAGAGTTAGTTAGGTTAAAACTTTGATGCAAATTTAAATACAATCTAGAAGATGGAAAGTTTAGCTACCTTTTAACAACACAAGGGTAAGGTTAAGATATTTCAGTTACAAGAAATACTGTAGTGTTACAACATATCGGAGTTATTCTGAGAATATGTTCTGAAGTTTCATTGGCTTTGGTATAGTAAATACAGTAATTGAAATTAACAAACAACCTTTGTAACTTAATACTACTGCAAGGAGACTCTGCTTCTGCCCATTTACTCTACAGATTGGAAACAGATTGGTTCTGTACTAATAAAAAATTTGTAAAACCTTCCCGTCGTAAATATAGCCCATAAGAAGAGGTCTCAGATGTGACAGCTACCACCTTCCAGTGCTTGTTATTGGTCAAGGCCACACGTGGTATTGACAACTACATTTCCATACCCAGAGCTACTTATATTATCCCTATTACTTTCACACTTCGGGAAGAATTATGGTTATGCTATAGTGTTACTGCATTAAAGGCATTTCCTGCTAGTAAGCGATTCTCAAGTTTGTAATTCGTAAGGTTGTATATTACTTTTTCTAATTTTCTTCAATTTCACAAAAAAGCTCCATAGGTTAACAAGCACTTATTTGTATTTCCTGCACATGCCATTTGATAGCAGGGCCAGCTTGTTGCCTTTATGCTTACTCCTAGTGACAGTCTGTGTTTACACTTGGCTGAGATAGCTGTGGAGTGTTAATGCTCTTGCTTAACCATATTTTTGTTGGATTATTGGTGCATTGATTTTCTCCTCATGGTGGAAAACATGCTGGTGAAGTATTTAGTGCTGCTGCTTAAGAAAAAACAGTAGAAAATAGATACAACACTCAAGAGAACAAAATAGGGATGCTTGGTTACAAATGCCACACCAGACAAGTCAAACAAGATTAGAATTAGTAATGTATTAACTTCAAAAAATATTCACATATAAAGTATTTATTGTTACTTTGTTGAGCAAAATTGTGAATAAAGATATTAAAAAAGTATTTCTATCATTAAAGAAATCTGATCATCAAGCAACACCTTTACCTTGAGCTGGTTTTGATAATCTTGAGCAACAGAATCAAGTGCAGCAGCCTTCTCCCGAGCCTCTTCCTGAGCTTCCCGCAGTATATCACGATGTTGCCGTACTAGTGTACTCGTTTCACTGTCTTGCTGATCTAAAGTGAGAGGAATAATCTTGTAAAGCAGTATGAAACAAAGATAAACAAGCTTGATAAAGAACAAGATAAACTTAAGCAACAAAGAATACAACTCCAGAAATCAATGCAGGAAGGATTAAACAACTTACATGAAATCAAGGCCAAATGATCACCCACAGTAGATGACTGATAATATAACAGTCAGGGCTAAAGTAACACAAAATCTTCGAGAATGAAATGTGTAAACAAGCAGAGATAAGCAGATGCAGGGACAACCTCATTATAAAGAACTTGATGAGGAAGGAGGGAGAAACAGACTAACAATCAGTGAAACAGATGCTGAAGAATGTGATTGACTTTGTAGATGAGTTGAACATCACAAATGTGGAAAGACTTCTTAATAAATGCACAGTGCAGTTAGTGAAGTTAGCTACGGCCATAATTTTTTTTTCATCTTTTAGGTGAAGAAAATGTGAATAAAGACAGTTAGTGGAAAGAGGTGGAGAGGGAGGGCAAGAGGGAAAGAATTGGGGTTAAGAGACAAACATGATAATAAAAAAACACGCACTGTAAGTATATATTTTTGTTTTGTGTACAAGTGACATATTATGCAGTGCTTTCTTCTTGCCGTTTCAGGTTTAATGTTGTAAATGCTTTATAATATTTCAATAAGCATGAAAGACACTCGTTGGCATCAGCAGTACGAACAATCATATACAATGTCATATAATTCTCAATAACATTAATTTCCCACAATTTACACATCAATGCTAATTAAGTTATAATGGAGACAAGAAAGGTATTTTTAGCCAATCCCCAATCATAAATCTTAAATAATTAACTACCTGTTTAAAGCATATCTGTCAACTCTCCAAATACAGTGTTACCAGATCACCTGCTTCAGGCATGCAGGTTTGCTGGGATGAACTTAAGTTATTGGTGTAAATCACAGTAAATCACAAACATATAAATCCAATTTTCATAAAGTTGGAATGAATGAGGGGAACCTGTATGACCAAATGAAAGTTTATTTTATATGATAAGATTATAGACCAATAAAGGTAAACATCTAAATGAACCATCAAACAGATTTTTGTTATAACATGGTAAAAGTGGCCAATTTTAGCTTCTTATCTCATTTCTGAAAAAGTCAATCGTAGATAAACAGGTAAAGCCAACTCATCTCCCACAAAAGTAGATAATAATATTAAAGCCAATAATTTAACTGCCAGAGGGTAACATACCATAAGCTGAGGAGATAGTCTGTTGGCATTCTTGTTCTTTTGCAGTAACCCATTTTTCAGCTTCCAGAGACACAGTTTTGACTTGCTGACGGTGTTGTTCTTCTGCTAAGACCATCTTGGCTTCTAAGTTGCGCATTTTCTCCCTCTGCTCTTCAACTTCTCCGCTTATTACTTCTGCTAATCTGTATATAATTTTAATTTTCATATTACACAGCTAATTGAATAGGACCTGTAATGTTAAAAGACAAGCAAAAAATAATACTAAAAATAACTTTCTACACTCAGTGCTGTAAGGCTGTTTTCTTCAAGTTAGAAAAATGTTCCTAGCCGACTCTAAACTCGGGGCAGCAAGACTAGCATTGGTGTTGGTATTTATTTTACTATTAATTAATTAATATCATAATTTTTATTAGGTATTTTGTATCTCTGATGTATAATTTTATATTTGCCTCAATAAATTCTAGATCAATTTGGTATTTTGTAAGAAATTTATTTATAAAATTCAAGCAGAGGGAAGTACAGTATACTGTACAGTATTTCAGTATACAATTTAAGGAATCTTTATGCATGGCAATATATTACTTGTGTATTCATGTGAACATAGTTTTGTTTTCTGAAGAGGATGCCATAGTAAAGTTCTATCTTTAGTATTAAGGACCACTTATTTTATACTTAAGGGTGGTTCTATAAGTTAGACCATGAAAAATATTTTATGTACGTACCTGAATTTTAGGTGGTTCTAAGGATATGGGAAAGTATAGTACTGTACCAGTACAGTATAAGAAAAATGGCTGATAAAGAGGGTGCAAAGGAACAATGCAAGTAGATGGAAATTGCCTGTATCATGAGTGAGAAATATTGAACAAAACATTTAGGTGAGAATAAAGAAATGAATAAGACATACAGAAGGCACATGAGATATGGAGTGATAGGGCAACCTGGATGGTCTTCTGTCATGACCACCCCCAAAGAGAGGAAGTCTGTGGAGGAATGAGGCTTTGCAGGGATGATAAGAATATTATCACAACTTTTAAACAACGAGGAAGATTACCTTAATCGTTCCTGTACATCCTTAAGGCTTTGTTGTATCCTGTTAACCTCTTCATCTTTTTCCTTCAACAAAGCTTTCAATCGTATGATTTCTTCTTCGTCTGGGTTTCGTCGTTCATTTATATTCGTTTGTGTTTTTTCAGTCAATTGTTCTACCACTATATTTACTTTGTTGTCATTGGGGGTGTCAACTGTATCAGGTACAATGCTTAATTTCGCTGAGAGGGTCTTCCTGTCAGACTCAAGCTCTGCAATACGAGCCTGGAGTTCAGAAACTTTCACTTCTGTCTCCTTTAAGGTAGTAATTGTCATTTCCAGGTCCTTCTTTTCACTCTCCAGCTTGTCTATTGTTATCCTATCAGCAGTATAGGATTCCTCAAGCTGCTTGTGCATCTGTTTCACCTGAGATAGTTGAGCCTGGGTTTCAATTCGCAGCTTGCTTTCACTTTGCAGGTCCCGGGCAAGCTTTCCGCTGGTTTCATTGAGTCCTTCTACCTGCTTCTGAAGGTTGAGGATATTGTTTTGTAGTGTATTAATAGTCTCACTAAGAGTCTGACTCCGGTTCTCTTCAGTCTCTGATTTTTCCTCCAGGTTGGAAATGGTTCCTTTGAGTACCAAAACTTGCTCATCCAAGTTCTCTTTGACCTTAGTGAGACCTTCAAGTTTCTTGTCCATATCAAGTTTTTGTGTCATGAGCTGGGCAGCCTCAGATTTTGCAGCATCACGCTCTAGCTGAATGCCTCCAATCTTACCATGCATCTCAGCATTGCTTACTTCTATCTGGCTGATCTGCTTCTCATATCCTAATCTGTTCAAGAAAACAAACCATATTCTATTTTAGTGAGTCTGTGGGGATTGATATCATTCTGTTACCATATTTTTGTAAATAGAGAATTAATCCTAGAAATTCCACTTGTTGTAAAAGTAAATAAAAGCATACATCATACATCTCTGTAATATTATACTAATAACATAACAGTAACCACTTTATAAACACTTATGAAACCCTTCACAACACTTTTCATAACTTTAACAGATAAGTGAGACATTTATTGTATTCAAAGAAGGGAATTTATTAAGCAGTTCACACACACTTGAGTCTTACACATATGAACAAGTGAAATATCACTCATATGGACACATAAAAACATTTCACAACACCTTTCATCACTTTCACACACAGCTCAGATGTTCGTTATATCTACAGTAGGGCATTATGGTACATTTTACACACATGACAGTTCCAAATTTGAATACAGTACTGTAAGTAAACTAACATAATAAATAAATGAATACTTTGTAATCACTTTACTGGCTAATATTACTGCACAATGGATGGCACAAGATTGTGGGATGGATGTCAAGATAAAATTTAAAGGGCTCACTCACTCAGCCTTCTAGCTTCACTGCCAGGACAACACTGATGCCTCATGGTCGGCGTGCTATGGACTGTTGTCAAGTAACCAATTAGTGATGAATTACCACGAGAATAATGCGCCAAAATCTCAAGCATCAATCGGAATTACTAGATCTTTCATTAATTTTTTCTCTCTTGAATGATGCGTTGGTGAGTCAGTGTGAGAGTATTAAGAGAAGTTTTGGAAACAAGCCATAATGCCTAGTCAGCTGTGCACAAGTTGCCTATCACTGCTGTTGGCCACATTCTACAACTTCTGGATCACTCATTCAATTCCAGTCAACTCTTGTCATATAACCAATTGGGAGGAGAGAGGGGTAACTGAATCTTTAGTCCAGACCCAGTACAGTATTTAAATGAGATCTCTAGTTTCATATAACAGTCGTAATGATAATCCTCACCTAATCTCCATGAGGCCCTCCAGTTGATCCTGAAGGCCTCTTTCGTCTGTTATGTGTTTCTTTTGTAATTCCTCTTTCTCTTTGGCTGACTTTTGTTCAAGTTCCTCTTTTTCTTTTGTTAACTGCTCATAGATGCCGGAAGATCCTTCTCTAAGCTGCCTCATCAGTTCTCCCTTTTCATTCCACAATGCCTCTATCTTTCCTTGAAGGTCCTTGTTGGACAGCTCCATATTCAATACCTGTCCAAAATAAACACTAATGAGTTTCAAGCACATAAAAGCTGAACTTCTTTGAAGTGTATCTGTGTTGCTTACAGCTACTTAAGATAAGAACAGTGAGGGTGGGGGAGGGGGGGAATGTTAGAGGGAAATAAAGAATTAGGTTATGAATGGAAGTAGAATACACTCTGTACTTAAAAAAAAAAGAGGAAGATTACTGAACATTGTAGAATTAAGCTTTTATAGTGGATACATGAGTAGTAGGTGTAACATCCCTCAAACAATCAGAGACATCAGGATAACACTTAACCTACAATGACAAATCACCTTATAATCCTGAAGCTGGCCCCAAGTCTTTCAGGGAACACTTAGTGAAAATAACAGACTGGACTACTGTACAGCCCAGTCAGGTTAAGTAAACACAGCACTAGGTAACACAGTTCCCTCCCTCAACAGTGCCACACCAGCATACCATTCTCAGGTCATTACATATATAAACACCTTTAAAATAATATAAGGAAAAACACCCACTCTTACCTTATACAACGCTAGTAATTACATAGCCCAGTCTAAGCTCAGTGCCTGGGACAAGCCCTACTCTCACTAAACCAGATGTATAGCTGCACACACACATCTTTCCTCTAGAAGAATGGTGACATGAATGAATTGGTTGTTACAGTACTATGATCTTGGTTAGTAAAACTGTCAAATGAATGAGGAGCAAACTGTGCAGTAGAAAGAACAAGCTGTGTCACTTCACTTCTAGTCATTCTTCCATGTTATACAACAGTGTGGCCTCTAATCTCTCATTTTGAGTAATGTTTGTCATCAAACTGGTGTCACATTTTACATAAGGGCTTACATTTGCCAATGACCTAACTAAGGTACACCCACTAAAAAATTATTCGGCACCCGTGTCATATTGTATCATGCCGTAAGGGTGCTGAATAATTTTTTATTGGGTGTACAATAATGTTGAAGTATTATGTACAGTAATGTTGTACACCAAACATTACTGTACACCCAATACAAAATTATTCGGCACCCTTACGGCGTGATACAATATGACACGGGTGCCGAATAATTTTTTAGTGGGTGTACAACTAACGTGCTAATTCAAAACTTCAAGTAGGCAATCTACTTTCACAGTGATTAATGCAATCCATTTTGTTGAACAATTGTTATTTTCTGGGACTGCAGGTGATCTGGCCTGAGGTTTCTAAAAGGAATTCACTGGCATGTTCCCAAATAGAATTAAAGAACACTATTTGTTAAGAGGGTTGGGAGGTGTACCATGATAACCCACTGGAGTCAGCACATAAAATGTTCTTTTGAGAGTTTTTTGTGATTTTCTGGGATCTGTGATATAATACAGTATAGAGAAACTCTTTAGGGGACTGTTAACTAGCTGTACAGTAACTAGCTTGAGTTGTTTTACTGAGAGCAATTGGGTTATGATAGTTTACACTGGTTCACCTTATAGAACTCTGCTTAGACTTAGCAAAGCATAGCTAAGAATCTTGTTGAGTGACCTTCATTTTATATCTCTTTATGGAGATTAGTATTGTTTCTAAAGAACCCTTTTTGTGACCTGGCTATCAGTTTCAGTTACAGATGTTGAGGTATCCTGAGTCCTGGCTAATAAAAACAATGACCATAAGGATATAAGACTGAACTAACGGTCTGTTAGCTCTGGGTTGAAGAAACCTCACAGTAGGTATAGTGATATGATCATACACCAATCAGCTCACTGTAACAACTTAAATAGTTCACAAGAATCCTGTGTAAAGGGAACAGTAAAATTATTAAACCCGGTCAGTGGAAAGTAACTCCGGGGCCAGGTGGCTGACGGTATGGGTTATTCATATATTATATGTAAGTGGTTAGTAAACTAAGTCTGACACGCTTGACAACACAATATATTATTGTAAGGCAACTTGCCCACTGCAGTAGCTTAACAAAGTATAAAAAACAGAAAATGAGTAGAACAAGTTAATGAAATTCCAGTTTATAGTTAGGAACTAATTAAAATGTGATCCACAAGACCACTCTCACTTTCCACTTGTGAGTTACCAAAGTAAAGTAACTAAACAATGGTATTGTTGATATACATAATGAAAGGTACAAACCAATACTGAAGAAACCTTGGGTGACCTGTTTCAAAATGTTAGCACATTTACAGTACGTATATGGCTGTTAGGATAAAACCTTCATGCTTTCCCTCTCTAAACCTTCTCAGTCTTGGTAAACAAGTCTGAAAGTTATTTATTGGGCCATTTATATTCCCTATACAGTAGACCCTAGATACCGCACAATTCAATATTTTGGTAGGCTTTCAATATAGTGTGGCACCCCACAATACTTTCATTTTTTTTATTTTGAGGTCAAACTTTGATACTGTGTAGTGTAAGCCCAGGAAAATTAAATTATAGTAAAAGGACCAGCATGTTAATCACTTGATGACAAGTGTTTACAGTGTACAGTACAGTACAAGGTATTTTGTATTGTGGACTGTATTGTGACCAAAATGTTTTGTTATACCCTTCAAGTCTATAAAAAAAAAGGAAAGTAAATTAGATGCTGCTACACCTGGTGATGTTAATAAGAAAAGGTATGTTTTTACTTTTTATGCTAAAATTAAAATAATCCCTTTCAAAATCTCATGAGGTACCAGTCTACCACCAAGCAATTACTCTGCTTCTCAACTATACTTTGCTCCTCGAGTCCAGCATGCTATAGCATACAATAATTTAAGATAAGAAATAGATATTACAATATTATTACTGTAAAGCTCAAGGTAGGATCCAGGCCAATGCAACCAATGTATTTGCATAGATCAAAAAATTCTGACCAATGCAAAGATAGCATATTCATGACATATATTTGACCAATCGGTAGCACGAGCTCATTGTCGCTTCTGACCTGCATGGCCTAACAGTTTCTGACTATGGCTGTCATTTTCTGTACTTGAGCGGCAGGTTTGAAAAACCGTCCCCAGGAATGGGATAATTGGAGTGGGGCCTGGGGGCGGGACAAGGTCATAGGTAAGGTTACACTCACATCACCTGAACTCCAGCCAGGATTCCCCCTTGAGACATCACGCAGTGGTAACCTTTGACAATGTCAGGTAACCAGGGATGGATTAAGATTGTGAGGGGCCTAAGGCTGATAAGAGGGAAAGGCCTGTACAATATATACATATATATATATACCCGGTATATACAGTAAAAAGGAACATTCTCTATAAAGGACCTCGCATTAACGGACACCCTGATCCATCCAGACTAGGTTCATATATTACAGATTCAGGTCTGTTAAGTAAATAATAACGGACCATTCACGTCCAAATTATCACAAATAATTACAGTAATACCCCATTTAGCCCGACCCTGCATAACAATGATTAGTTATAGAGCTCTTTGGTCCTCTCCTGGAGTTAGTTTATACAAGAAGAAAAAAAAAAAAAATAATAATAATAAAATAAATAAGAATCACAATACAATACATGGCAGAAGCTACAAGACATAACATTCAGGACTCGCCAACAGTGGCCATGCTTATTTATGGTCTCTCCACTAATGAGAGTGATATATACATAGGTATGCTCGCAGCCAATCAGCACTCTCCTCCTTGTAAAAAAAATTTTCCATGTAACATTTAACTTACTTGACGCACTCGCTCTTTATATGACGAATTTCCACATATCATAGAAAATATTTGTGACTAAAGTTACTTTTTAAAAAAAAAAAAAATTATTATGAAAATCCATTATTATGACCCCCCCTCCCCTCCCCCTCCACCACTTACAACCAACCAGTACTGTACGTGTTACTAACGTGTAGAGAGAGTGTTTATTATGCTGAAAGGCTAAATTGAACATGTATATCTGTAAAAACTATAAGGAATTCAATAAATGTGGAATCACACACACTCCTGTTTTAATAACCCATAGCATTTATCCAATATGGTTGTGACTTTTCAATGATTAATGAACCTTTTTATAAGAATACAGTACAGTGATATCCCCATTAGCCAGAACAATTGGTGCAGAGCACTTCCGGGGATGAGAGATTTCTGGGCAAAAAGACGACTTTCTCAAATCCGGAAAAAGCCCTTATCCCCGGAATCTTATCCGGTTACTGGGAAAAGTTTCCTAGAGTTTAAACTAGACATCTTGCACAGACGCACACTAGCCCACTTCCCCAGAACATTTCTGGGTGCTGGAGATGTTTTCCTTGAGTCTAAACAACTGGAATCCGTAAATACAGTTCTAATTAAGTTAGAAACTTCATTTCTTTACTATAATAATCCAGAATAATTTAACTAAAAGTTTGGTTAAATAAACATACAGTATTTAAAAATTAAAATCTATTGGATGATGGGCATGAACGAAGCTGTGTGTTACAGCAAAAACTGTTATTTAACACTCCCATAGAGCTGTGGGGGATTAGTGGGTCTCGTATAACTGACCTGACCTGACCTGACCTGATGCAATGTCAGGTGGAGGTAGGGTGGGGGATTAGTGGTCTCCTATTACTGACCTGATGGAATGTCAGGTCACCCTTTCTTGGGTGGAGGATTAGATGTCTTGAATAAAACTTAAAGTATTTTTAGAGAGATTGTGGGAAGTACAGATATAAGTATAAATGAGCAAAGTTGTATCCCTTCAACATTACCTTACATAACATTTTACAATATGGAGTGAGAAAGCAGAAGGGTGTGGGTAAATAGAGAGATGGAGTGGAAAGGAGTGTTGCCAAGTGCTCCTCAAAAGCTGATATTTAACTCGCTACCATGCAGTCACACACCTCACAGATGTGTCACACAATAAGACCTTCAGTCCTTATGATTGCTGTCTTAATTCCCTTGCTGGGGGTGTGTGTGAGTGGGGGGGAGGGGTGATGTTGGAGTGTGTGTGTGGTTGGGTTGTTGGAGGGTGTGTGTGGGTGGTTGTTGGAGTGTGCGTGGGTAATGTTGGGGGTGTGTATAATGTTGGGGTGTGTGATGTGTGAGTGATGGTGTGGGTGGTGTGGGTTGAGGGTGGTGTTGGGGGTGTGTGTGGGTGATGTAGAAATGTGTGGGTGGTGTTGGAGGGTGTGTGTGGGTGGTTGTTGGAGGGTGTGTTTGTGTGTGATGTAGGGGTGTATTTGTGATGTGTGGGTGGTGTTGGTGTGTGTTGACGGAAGCGAACCGTTTTGGGGGATAGGGTTGTGTGGTCAGTCTCCCCCCCCCCCCCTTTCCTCACTCAAGTGTGGTTAATTGTGATAGGGAGATGAATTTGATACGATAATGATCCTTCATAAATTCTCTACGAAAAGTTTCCAATAAGATATGCTTAAACAAAATATTTCTATATGATATAGTGATGGGAATTCCATTCTTTTATATAAAAAAACGTAAGAAATGTTGATATCGGAGTCAGTAAAATCAGTTTTAATTTCGTTAGACACATCATTTTTTTATCAAAATAATCTTGAATACTTTATCGAAAAGTTTGGTTAAATAAATATATTTACTGCACCACGTGAACACCACACCACCCGGTGTCCCCATGACCACGTGAGGTCCTTCATATCAACACCCAAGGACGAGTTACTACACCACGTGAACACCACACCACCTGGTGTCTCCATGACCAGTCCAGGCCCATCAACTGAAAACTATAATAATTTGTATGTTCAATTCATGTTCCTTCTTCTTTCAGTAATGAAAGCTTTTGTTAAACGACCCAACCACCCCATGTCTTTGTATGTAATAAGTCATTTTTGTCCAATGTATATTTTCAGCCTTCAGGCTGCCGACTTTTTCACTAAACCATAAAAAAAAACACACGCACATGCACACACACGCACATATGCATGCACGCACACACACGCACACACACACAAGGGAATTAAAACAACAAGCATCCATTGAGGGTCTTGTTGTGTGACTGCATGGAAGCAAATTAAAAGATCAGCTGTTGAGGTGCTTATTGCTTGGCAACACTGGTGCATGTTACCACTCCTTTCTGCTTTCTCACTCCATATTTTAAAAGGTTATGTAATGTAATGTTGAAGGGATACAACTTTGCTCATTTTTACAGTAAAATCTTGTATTTCGCGAGTAATATACACTGGAAAAATTGCGCCAAATTCAAATTCATAAACTAATGGGAAAAATAACAATATAGACTGGCCACTCTACATCAACCTCTGATTTTCCTATTTATAACCTCCAAATGATACAAATTCCTCCTTTATTGACCTGATTGTGCTTTCCGGAAGCTAGTTTTTAGGCCTTCCTCAAGTAATTTAATCACATGCTGCTTATACTGCATCGAGTACTTGGCAAACTTAACTCCCTTATGATAGTCCCACTTCTCCTTTTCCTTATTTGGCCGCTTAGGTGGATCTGTCTCACCCCCACCAGCATCAGTAGGACCCCCAGTAGAGGTAGAGGCCATTATCTTGACTTGACAGGTGGAAGCACCACCCAAAAAAGCACACAATAGCAGGCTACAACGCGATAGTTGTGTTCTTGTAAACCTCTTTTAAGTTCACCACCAGCAATTCTATCACCAGAACACTTCTTGGAAACATTCTTCTTACCTTGTCTTTCCATATTAATCGCTAACACAACAAAATTGGAGAAAACAGCAAAAATCACGGAGCAATCGACAAAAACCTCACGATTCAACTGATTACGTGATGTAAACAGAAAGCGCTGGTGTAAACTGTTATTAGTCCTCAATGCGAAACATTCTTTTTACTTATTCTTTTCAGTCGGTATTTATGGGTAACAGCTAAATTTGCAAAAAAATAAAAAAATAAAAAATTTACAGAGTACCTCTCAAAAAACATTTCACAAACAAAAGATACGAATCAATTGAAAATGTGATGTCGAACGTGAAGTGTGAACACTGCATAACCCCGCACCACGATTAAAACGTTGAGGATGGAATCATGTTATAGCCAACATTCGTATGCAAAAGTTCGAGTTTTACAAAATGTGTTCCCCTACTAATCAATCGAGTTACAACCAATTTGCGTTGACAAAACACACATTGTAACAGAAATGACTGTAACTGGTATGAGGGCTGTGACGTCATTCAAGACAGTGGCCAGCATTCAGCTTGCTGGATCTCGCGAAACTCATGAAATTTTATGCCAAATATAAGACTTGGTTATATTAGGTGGTGCTCGCGAAATTCAAAAATGCGAAATATGAGATCTTACTGTACTTATACTTATCACAATCTCCCTAAAAATACTTTAGTTTTCGTGTTTATTCAAGATATCTTCAGGTCACGAGACCCACTAATCCCCCACCCAGGAAAGGGTGACCTGACATTCCATCAAAAGGTCAATAATATGAGACCACTAATCCCCCACCCTACCTCCACCTGACATTCAGTCAGGTCAGGTCAGGTCCCCCCCCAAAATACTTTAGCTTTCATATTTATTCAAGTCATTTTCAGAAAAATCTCTCGATTTTCAACCTCGGAAAATTTGTTCCTAAAGCCGGAAATTGTTGGAAAATTCCGGCTTTGGGAATGATTTTCTGGGCAAATTTCAATTCTGGCTATCAGAGATTTCCGGGTTTGAGGGATTCCTACTAACGAGGATATTACTGTACAGTATATGTATTTAACTCTACACTTGGCAGAATTTGACACACATGGTTTCCACAAGCATTAATAATAGCTTTGGCATAACTAACGTGTAATGAGAATATTTAAACACATTTTATAATCATATTCAGCGATGTTCTGCCTTCTTCAGTAAACCGAACTAAGAATAATTAGAGATTTGTCGGTATTGGATTTCATGGCTTATGAGGCAGCATTTCCCATCAACTGAGAGAAAAATAGATACCATTTTCAAAATCCTCATTTTCGAACATTACATCAATTCATTCCCTCCATTTGCCCTTTAGATTTTCATAAATAATAAGTTTTCCATTTCTCTTTACCATCATCATTTTAATAAGTACCAAGGTGAGTGCAGGTGGGAGTAGTGGTGAAGCAAGGCCAAAACAGGTGCACCAGCACATAACCATTACTGGTAAACTAATTACAACGGAGTGTCTCAGATTAGCTCAGATAATTCTTAGGTTTTATATGTATATGTTATATTATGTAACAACTCTGAATATGATTTTGTTTATTGTTCAGAAAACAGGGTACTGTACTGTGTCTGTAAAATGGCCACAATTGAACACTTAATATGGCTGAAAATGGTATTATTCTATGCCCTTTAAAACCTTTCCCAGAAAAATTTAACATTTATAAAATCCAGATACAGTATGTACTCTTCCCCCCATTAGTCTCATTTAGTAGGGACAAGCTGTGACCTTCACTTTTTCAGTATACAATTACCTATTTCCTATTCCTCTGTACTCTACCCTCCATTTTAATTAAGAATGTGTAATCAATCTATTATAACATGTATCCAGTTAACCAATTGAAAGAGCTCACCTTATTTCTATTATGTTCATTGTTAAATTCTAACATAGCAATAGTTTTCGTTGTCTCTTCCTTTTCTTTCTCATAACTTTCTATTTTCTCAGTGAGTTGGTGGTTGTTGTTGGAAAGTGCTTCTACTTGCGCCGTGAGGGTCTCACAGGTGGCCTTGGCCTGCTGGAGCCTCTCTTCCAGCCCAGCACACCCGGCCGTCGACGTCGCAAGTTGAGCACTAGTTTCTTCCATAGTCGTTTCAATAACCCGAAGCCTTTCACTCTGAAAATCCCAATATAAACATCTTAATATTGCATTGGTATATGGAAATATCTCCATGGTTGAATGAATTTGTTCCTTTACTTTTAAAAGTACTGGGTACTGTATCAGATCTAATCCAAAGTGCTCCTTGCAAATGGTTACAATTAACCAGAGTATATCTGACCAATGTTTTAAAAATCATTAGTATAAAGGCTACTGACTGGCAAAATGTAATAATAAACATATACACATTGGGAAACTTGGGTAATGAGGAATTTAGGTAACTCATAACTCAGGCAATCAAGAAATTAAGGTAACTCAAAGAACTCCAGGCCTCAACTTTCATCAAACTATTGTCTCATCAGTTCAGTCATTTGCTTTATCTGATCAGTCAAACAATGCATCTACAGTAGTTCACCTTCCTTGAACCATAAGTGATTGCATGCAAAATGCCAATGTTAAAATAAAAATATTTTCCCTTTAATTAGGCAGGATATACGGTATGAAAGAGGAGGAGGATTAACCATCAAATCCCATTTTCTTGCATATTCCAAAGTCAGGTGGTCCTCATAATATAAAGCAACTTACCGGGAGGTCCTTGGAACCTCAGCCAGGGCCCCAAAATGTCAGCCAGGGTTAACCTGTTAATACATCCAACACCCTTCCCTTCCCCCTGTACAACCAGTCTCAAACGAGGGGTACTGGGGTGCCCCATACAGGGGCAAACGTTTTATCAGAACCATGACTGCCCAGTCAGCACTCACTACACCAAGGAGACTCCTCCACTATCCACAAATCCAAGCAAATTTAGGCTGAGCCAATTGAGTTCATTTTAGATGCAGGTGAATAGTCACAAACCAAAGGGAGGAGAGAGGGTCTCCAAGCTGCAAAGTTTAAGGATCTCCCAGAAAAAAGGCGATTTCAAGACCAATCCTACATTTCTGGCTACTGACCTTAAGCCAGGTGGCTCTTGTCAACTTAACCCAGTTAAAACAATGAGGGATGTGGAGGAACTACAACAATAGCTCCAAGATAGACTCCCTAAATGGTTTACCAAAAAGTTTCATGAAAATCAAATGTAAGCATGTTAAATTTTCTTAGACATGGGTGCAGTGTGTGTTAAACCCTAGAATGGACAATTTCAAAAGAATTGCTTGCCTTATGGTTATCTTACATACATAAGATAACCAGTTCCAAAATAACCTGACTGAGGTGAGGTCTAGCCTTGTAGATAAGAACACAACACTGAGATATACTGTAATGTTAGGTAGAAAAAGTCTACTAACTCATGCTAAAACTAGTCTACTTCTCATACACCAACTCCAACTTGGTAACAAGAGTAAACAATCTTACTGTTACAGTGACACCCAAACCTGTGGTTAAAATTGCTAATTAAACCCTCAAGTACCAAAAAATGGGACCAATACTTAGATTCTGTTGAATAAAAGTGGATCAGGACTGTTCACTATAAATGTCAGTCAAGAACTGAAGTGAAAATGAACTGCTCTACCCAAATTGGTAAATTCATTTGAATTCAACAATGGCAGAGCAGTTGCCTTTGCACTGTGAGAAGGGACTAGGTAGTTATGGCTCTAACAAGACTTCTAGCTCTCTAGGGGACACCTCTGCACCAGTCCCCCTAATTTGAGGCTGATAGTGATGAGATAAGGGAAGGGTATTTAATACATTAAATGTTTATAGATAAACAGATTAATCCTGGCTGGTGCTCACGACCCTATTTGAGGATTCATGATCTCCCCAATAAAGTGCCCTATTTACAACAGCTCTTTGGCTTAAGGATGACAGTCAGATATTTGAGAATCACATGTCTTCCAACACACAGCCATATTTGTTTGATCTTAGCCATTTATTATGTGACAAAAAAAATCCAGGTATTTCTTCAGAAACATGTCGCTCTCTGAAGACCAAATGCCTATTTCTGCTTTCAAATAATATAACAAGTTATACTTACATTGTAAACTCTCGCTATTGTACAGTACAGTAAATCTTTGTTTAACGTTGCTCCCGACAAAGTTGTTTCGTTATAACGTCGTTACTCTTTAGATATGCATGATTCGGTCAACGTCCCGCCGATTCGGTATAAAATTGTCATAGACTACTTTGTACGGCGCATCACCCTCTCTCATCCAATCAGAGCAGGAGGAGGAGCCACCCGCCGGGTCTCAGTGACTCACCACCCTCCTCCTCTCCACTACCCACCACACACTCGCTCCACCTCCGCCCATCAGTGAGTACAATACAAAATGATTTAGTTTATTTATCTTATTGGATGTATAACATATACTATTTTCTATAAAAATCCCATTGAATATATGTACTGTACTGTATATGTAATGTATTTTATGGGGCAACGGGAGGCTGGGGTACGTAACTCCCATATTTTATCTATTTCTTATGGGGAAAATTGATTCCGTTAACGTAGCGGTTTTCAGGAATGGAATCACGACATTAAGCGAGGATTTACTTATGTTATTAAATTATTTACATCAAACCAACCAACAAATACATACAGGGTGTCCATAAATTGTCCAACCCATTTTAAAACTTAATAACCTCAGCAATATCACAGATAGAACATGGTGTACGTGTGGAAGTCTAATAAGACAAGAAAACACTTAAAGAGTTGTTCGTCCAGTACAGTACTGTATATCTATGTTTTTAATGTTATTAATTTCTACAACAGGTCAGATAATTTATGAACATCCTGTAGTACATTAAATTTCATTAAACATGTTCCTCCACATCAGTGTGTCAAACCAGAAATTCTTTTCTACAGTTGTTGCTGTTTGGCCAGACCATCTCAGAATTACTGTTTTTCATCCCTAGCATGTGAAATAAAGGTACAGTACATTCAAAATTAAATATTGTACACAGTAGAGTATAATATCTATGGTAGACTTACACCACAGATACTGTACTGTATACAGTAATACCGTACTGTACTTTTAAGGAGACATCTACACTAAACTGTCACCATCACCCCTCACCACACACTTCAAGTCAAATAATATTTTACTTTATTACTAATTATTACTATAGGGTACTTCAAATTTCAATTTCATAGCAGGAAAAGCTAAATCGCTATACGGGTAGTTAAAAGGAAGATGAAGCATTGGACACACAATAAGAAGAAATCAGCTAGTGTGAAAGAGAAAGTGAGTCCCATAGATATGATGTACAGTACAGTATATCTACAGTAGACAAGGTGTAATATCAAACTTAGCAAAGTGTGTGGTGACCTGGTAGGTACAGCAACTGGAGACCTAACATACCATTCCCTCTTGTGACATTTTATGCTTCAAATTTTGAAAATTACAGGGAATTTATGCACATTTATCTCTATCAGGAATTTTACTGAGATTTCTATTAAGAATTCAGTGATTTTCTGGTGATCTTGAAGAAAGGTGGGCGACATCCTTTAGCAGAAAAAAAGTTTAAAATGCTGAATACTGTACTGTAGTTAAGGAATCGTCTTAATAATGTACAGTATTAATCTCAAAACAAAGTCACTGTCCCTAACAGGCAGTCATGTCTATAGGACCCACTTTCAAAGTGTAAAGTGTGGTACAGTATCCAATAAATGCATGGCTGGAGGGACACCATGACGTGAACAACTATGTATGAAAAGAAACCCACAATGGCAGACGAAACGATTATTCCAAGCAGCATCAGCGACAACTGTCATCTTCCTCGGTGGACTCACGGATAAGGACTGGCACATTTACCACTACTTAAGCTCCTTATTATACAATGCACATAACATCACCTCACCTCACCCTCATCCCCATCTCTACAAAGATGTCTGACATTTTATTAAAGTTTCATAGGTCATTTAAAATTTGTAATCCTCAACAACTAGAGGCAATTTTTAGAAATATTGGAAAGTCTTTCATGACCTAAAGTATCCAGGATGGTTAATAAAGATGGCATATTATAAATCTAGGAAATCATTTTTGTACCTAAATTGCCCTCTGATATAAGAAAGCCACACATGTTTTTGCCTTATGTATCAAATATTAAGTGTTATCAATTCAGTTTAAACCAGGAACTTGATGTAAATATTGCCTTTAGATATACTTGTACAGTAATTTTAAACCATTGTTGGTAAGGAATAAAACTATCAGTGATTTCACAACAGGCGTGATCACAGTTCCAAATAAGGATTGTGACATAGTTTACATTAAGTGAGACAGGTAGGAATTTAGAAACTCACATTAAAGAACATAATTACTACAGTATACCTTTAAGACTGGGCATACTAACAATGCGATATTTATCTATGCCGCTAAAAATAACCATGCAATTGTTTTACAAATGTAATGATATTAAGAAAAGTACCACAGTAGAATCAGTTTGTATACAATAATATAACAATTTTAATTCAAGTGAGAGCATGTTCAACGTGGTTCATGTGATGAAAGCCTTGGTGGTCAGGTCTCTCTGTCTGATGTGCTACCTGACCTGATCAGAAGTGATCACCGTGGCAATGGGTCAGGCAGGGATGAGGGTGAGGTCAAGTCCATTGTATATAAGGAATGATGAAGATACCAATTCTTGTCTGTATCTCCACTGAAGAGAATGACAGTTGTCGCCAAAACTGTTTGGAATAAACATCCTGTCTGCCCTTGTTTCTTTCTTCTCATTATTAATGCCTAATCAGTAATTGAAACATGGCATTTTAATAGAGCTTTGATTCTTAATGTTCCCACAATGGTCAGATTCTGACCTCATAAGTCACCCAAGGTTGACCTTGACCATCATTCAGTGACCCAAGGATCACCTCCCCTCTGAGCCCCTCCCTCAACATGAAAATTACTGACAGTAATAAATGTGGTTAAAAAATTTGCTGCAATGAGTTCGTGTATATAGTACTAATACCAAACATGCCACTCACAAAGCGAAGTTGTGGTGGAAATGTGAGAAAAGACCCAGTGATCGCTGTTGGGGCAGAGTGACGACAAACTTTGTTTCACTAATTTACGATGTTTAAGATACATGTACTTAATATGATGTGATTTTTTATTTTATTTATACTGACATGATATTGTATATGTGTTGTCAATCTGTGGAAGTCATGTACAGTACGTATTGTCAAATAACAACTGCCATAAACTGTGTTTGGTTTTATTACATTTAATTGTCAATGGTATTTGAAGACATGTGAATTTTTTAAGCCAAAATTTCGACTTTTTGGTTACTCTTTTTCTTTTGACTTCATTTCCATTCACCCAAAATCCAAACCCCCTCATAAGATCCTGGATTCACCCCGGAATGTAGCAACAATCCCACCAGCGATGTTAACAGACCCAAACGATGGGGTTGTGTTCCTGAAAACCTAACATTAAGAAAAATTATCACTAAACAAAGGATACCAGCAAAGCACGGAGAGTGAACAACAGGTTCAAACGGCAAGGCAGTAAACACTGAGTACAGTACTGTAGCCCTTAATGATAATAATGATAATAATAATAATAAACAAGTTTTTTAAAACAGTTTTGAAATTAAACAACTGACTAATTAACACCAAACTTCTGTACAAATGATAGTGGTTTAGAGTTAAACGATTTATTGAGCAAAAGTGAAGCCAATTTAAAGATAAAGTATTTCAAATTGTACATGTCAAAATGAAAAAAAATACTATGATAAACAATAAAATTGATACATAGCATATCATAAAATACAATAGCACATATTTATGTAAAAAAAATATATCGAGCCACATTTTCAAGTTTGCAGAAGACACGAAGATATTTGGGAAGGTAGCAAATCAAGACGATATCACAACATTGCAAAAAGACCTAAATGAGTTGTTCAAATGGTCTAAAGACTGGCAAATCCTCTTTAATATTACAAAATGCAAGACCTTACATGTAGGATACAACAACCCTAAGCACAACTATGCTATTAATAACATTTTCCTGGATACTGGTGATATGGATAAAGATATTGGCATTGTGATAGATCATTCACTGAAGGCGGTGCACCAAGTGAGGGCAGCAGTGAGGAAAGCAAATCAAGATTTGGGAATTATAAAGTGTACCTTTGAATACACAGCTAGGAAAATGCTCCTTATACTGTATAACAATCAAGTATGTCCCAGTCTGGGCTGTTGTATACAGGCATGGACACCCTACCTCCAGAAAGGTCTAGCATCCCAAGAAAAGGTGCAACACAGAGCAACTATAATGATTCTGAACTACAGTATGTCATCTCAATTTTCCAAGTTGACTAAGAGCCTTAGGACTAACAACCCACAAGGCACAATAGGGCAGATCTTACTGAAACATTCAAAATCCTGAAAGTGATGGAAAATGTGAAACCAGGCCATTTCTTCGTGATGTCACGCACCATCAACACAAAAGAACAAGCTCACCAAGTTATCATGCAAAATGAATATAAAGAAATACTTCTTCACTGCAGAGGCTGTTAGACCTATGGAACAGTCTACCAGCCCAATCAAGAACAGTACTGGGCTTCAAATAGCACTTGACAAAATTATAAAAAACAATGGAGGGATCCCACACAGGTCACTGGCTTCCTTCCCTCATTATGTCCACCTCTAGTGGGTGACCATTAGGCAAATAAGGTAAAAAAGCACGTGATGTACTCTTTATGTTTATTCCTTTGTGAAAGTTCTTCGTGACAAACATCAATGTAAAGTTGTCTCTCTGACCCTGTGTTTCCTTTGCTACCATAAAACTATTTGTCCAATGATTACTGCTGCACTCATTTGTATGTTATTTGGGATATTTTTACCTACAGCCTACAGGGACCAGCCTGGTGAATCAAAATTAACTTGGTAGTTTGTTGAGTACAGTATTGGCACTACATTACTGTGTCTTAATTCTTCAACAAATTTTAAATGAAATATTTTTACTCTAAGTACATGAGTACTTTACATTCTTTTTAATTTTTACTTTTATTTGAAGTAACATGAAGAAACAGTAATTCCACTTTTGCCTGAATAAGTTTTTCTCGAAGTACCAGTACTTTTACTCAAGTAACTTTTTCCTAGACTTTGTCCACCACCTCACAATAAACACCAGAACTTGGGTGAGGGTCACATGGGTCCAGTTGGGTCTGGCTAGGGAGAAACTATGCAGGTTTGGTCGGAGTTCATCACATGACTACTTGACACCGCATAGCACCAAATCATATAGTTTTCTCTTATACCTGGTTTTTTCACAAATGTATTTTACACACTGAACCTGTACTCTAGTATAAATGGCTGTAGTTAAGAGATTTCTGAAGTTTGAAGACATGAATAATAAAAAAGGGTATCTGTAATAGACTTTCTTCTTCCTTACATCACTTGTGAGTAATACAGTACAGTATAGTTTTTTAATTCTTCAGCTACAGTACAGTAGTTTTAAAACACCAAAAACAGTCTAGAGAAATCAGTAAAAAAGGACAAACAACTGGGAGCCAAAGCATTACTGTAATAATAAAAAATATGTTAGTATGATCTCATAAACACATTCAAACTGTTAGAAAAAATGGTATAACTACACAAAAATTAAACACATTATTAAATACCTTAATCTATTATCAGCAAATCAATACCGTCAGCCGCCTAAAGTCATCAAAAAAGAAGGGAGGGTTTTGCCGAAGTCTTTAAGTCGTTACCCCATCCCAAGCCCTCTATTACAGTACTATGCAACACGTGGACATTTCTACTTTAATACGATACTTGTCAAGCGCTGTGTTGTTGGGGTCAGGGTCAGAGGGCTGAGTGGTGCTGGAGATGGCAATGTTGGTGGCCAGCAAAGGATCCGTGTCAACAGAGGTCGAGGGTTTTGTTGATGGGGAGGACTTGCACTTCGAGGCAATTCTGCGAGGGGGTCGAGGTTTCGCCCCCATTGTAGACGAAGTGGGTGAGTCTAGGTCAGGACTGGGTAACTGGGGTTCACACTTGGCCCCATCTTTGGATACTTCTGGACACTGATAATCATGATCAATTGGTTGTGCTTGATAGATGATCCCATTATTGGTTTCACCTGTCTGCTGTGGTCCTTTATGTATGGTCTGCTGTATTTTGGACTTGGAATTGTTAGCCAAAGGCTCACTCTTCTTCCCTAAACTTGCTTGTAATAGTTTAAGTTCTGATCTTGATGCTGAGTTGAGCAACACACGAGGTATTGACCCATTGGATTTACACTTACTTTTGGCTTTTGAAATTGATTTTGTCCTTAAATGAGCACTTAAAGATGTTAAAGTAATACCTATTTTGCCATCTGCTGATGAATAAGATTGGATATCTTCCTTGCTTTTAGTACCCGAGGAAGACCGAGTTAGGAGATGAAAACTCTGGCTCAATGCATGGATTTCACTATTGCCCCCAAAACCAGACTGAGATTCTTGGGCAGATTGTGACCTCAATTCTGATGCTAGATCAGCTATGGGGGATGACTGCCCTTGCAAGTATGGTCGAAGACAAGAAAGTTCAATAGAGTATTCTGAGCCCTGTGAGGGGGAGCTACATCCTGCTGCCTGCACCTCATACTCTGTCCCTGACAGTAATGAACGAAGATAACTTAACTGAGATTCATAATGCTCTTGAATATCATTGAGTCTAGTCTCATACTCACTCTGGAGAATATCTAAATATGACTCTTCTCCACTCTCATTCATTTTGCTCATAGTTAATTTTAAGTCATCAACTTGAGCTCTAAGTGCAGCTCTCATAAGAGTCATTTCGTCAAGGCTACATTCAAGTTCTTCAATGACTTTAACTTTTTCATCAATTTCACTTTGAAGAGCATCAAGTTGAGTTTCATAGGAACTGATCTCATCAGCATGTGCTGCTAGCTTACCCTCATACTCATCTATCTTTGTAACCAGAACACGACCAAATTGAGCCTTTTCTTCTAGCATTCTGGTCTCATAAGTGTTATTTACTGTACTAATCTGCTCCTGGTATTCAGCAATTACCAAGGCAATTTTTTCTTCATATTCTAATTCCAATTGTTCTTTTCGTTCTTCAATAACACTGACTTCCTCTGACAACTCTTTGCGTAAGGCTTTCAGTTGCATCAAGTGGTCATCTCTCTCTTCATTTAGTTTCATAGCATAAATCTCCTCTTGTTCTTCTAAAGATATCTGAGCTTTCTCAAGGTAATTTTCTAACTTTTCATTTTTTGCTGTGAGTTCCTCAATGGTCTTAGACTTTAGATGGTCCTCCTTGATACGTGAAACAGTCTCTTCCCCAATTATTTCTTTTAGCTTCTTTATCTCATCCTTGAGGATTTCCTTTTCTTTTGCTATATTTATGACTAAATCTTCACAAATAGCTACTTTTTTCTCACTCTCAAGGATATTGCCTGAGTGAACATCACATGAAGCCTGTAGTTGTGCCACCTGCTTCTCTAAACTGCCTTTGTCAGATTCCAAATTAAGTATCAATTTTTCCAGGTCAGAAACCATCTGAGTTTGCATTTCCATTGCCATTATTTGTTCTTCTTCATAACCATTTTTTAATATTCTCTTTTCTTCCTCAATTTGTTGCTTTTCTTTCTCTAATGATACAATATTTTGTTGAAGAACTTGAATCTTGCTTTGAAGATCATTCTTTTCCTCCAATATGATCACTTCTCTTTTGGACAAATTTTTGTTTAATTCAAGTTTGATTTTATCGAGTTCCTCATTCAGCGCTACTTTCTCTTCATAAATTTTATCAATGTGTTTATTCAGCTCACTGACAATGGCTGCATTACTTACTTTAAGTTCATCTACTTTGTGTTTATGAAGCTTCACTAACTCAGCTACTCTACCTATATGGCTGCTTTCTAGCTTTGCAACCTCTTCTACGTGACTACTACTACTGCGACTAAGTTCTAATTCTAATCTTTCAACCGAGTTTTTTTTTTTTTCTAGTTCTGCATTAGCTTCCTGAAGATTAGTATCGGCTTTCTGCAATTTACTTTCATACTCTTTTACTAAGTTGGCTTTCTCAATTTCCACATTTTTCTTTTCATTTTCTAACTGAGTGATGGTATTTTTTAGGGCTTCACATTCTCCACAGCTTTGCATCAGCTCCTCCTTAAGTTTTGAAATATCTGTACTCAGTTTGTTTATCTGTTCTAAATGAGATTCCACATTGTTTGGAACTTGCGACACTCCTTCAAGTTTTCCCTCAAGTTGTGTGATGTAATCCATGCACTTATCCAACTCACTGACTTTTGATTCAAGTTCTTGGATTTTTTCCTCCTTAGCAGTAATGATTGCTTCAAACTTCTCGTGACTCTCAAAACTTTCTCTTGTTGAGGATTTACCTTTGACAGCCTCAAGTTCTGCTGTAAGTTCTTTAATGGTCTGCTGCAACTTTGGAATATCAGAATCCACAAGTGTTTTCATTTCACTCTCTTTGTCATTTAACTTTTTTTGAGTTAACTCTAGAGCTTCTTGGAGATCATTTCCTTTCTTTGTCAGGATCTCAATCTCTTTCTCTTTACCCACAACCTTCACACATTCTTTATCTGCAACTAGAGAATGGGAAGTTGAGGAAGATGTTACTGAAGAATCTGACTGAGCCACACCAGATGCCTCAGAATCTATTACTGGTGATTTCTTTTGTTTATTAATTTCTTCCACTAATGATTCTATTTTTTCTTGCAGCTCTTTTATCTCTCGACTTCTCTCCTCTTCAGACAACTTTAATTTTTCCTCCATTGTTCTCTGCTGTTTCTCATTTTCTGTTTGCAAATTCTTATATTTTGTCTCCAGAGAACTCTTGTCCTCCTGAAGAGCATTGTAGTTTTCCATGGACTGTTTCTGATTATTAGTGAGAGTTACAGTTAACTCTTGGATGGTTCCCTCGCGTGCTGACAGCTCCTCTCGGAACTCTTCTTCTTTGTTGTATATCTCAGTTGTCATGTTGAAGTTCTTAGCATTAAGGTCTTCCAGCTGCTGTTGTAAGTCTTCTAGCTGCAGTCTCAGAGCCTCCAGATTAGAAGTCTTTTCTTTGTCTGACTTCTCAAGTTCTTGGTAGGATTTTTCCATATTTTGGTGCTTACCTGTGAGATCCAAATGTTCAGCTTGTAGTGAACTAAATATTTCTGTCAAGTTGTCCTTTTCTGACTTCATCTTCTCACTATCTTCCTTTAAACGTGCCATTTCATCCTTGAGGGAATTAACAAAATCTGTCATGTCATCTTGGATAGTTTTCACTTTTTTCTCAAGAAGTAGTGTCTCTTCAGTCTTCTGCTTCACTTCTAATGCCAATGCTTCCTTCTGTAATTTGACATCATCAAGCTCATTCTTTTCCACCATAGGTACAGCAGATGACCTTAATTCACCGGACTTATATTTATCGAGTTCGTCATTAATTAATTTTTTATCATACAACACATTTTCAAGTTCTTGTTCATGAGTATCCTTCAGCCGAACTAGAGTCTGCTGCAGGTCATCTATCTGACTTCTCTTTTCCTCCATTTCCTTAATCAGATCATCTCTTTCAACCATGACAGCCTTCACCAGCATGTCAAATGTTCCTTGCAGTTCACACATCTTCAGCTCCACCGTTTCAACTTTGCGTCTGAGAACTTCACATTCTTTCTGTTTGTGCTCACGTTCCCGAGCCATGACTTTCAAGTGTCTGTTGGTAACCTTTAACTTGTCATTCAACTCTTTCATTTCTTTCTCCATACTCTGTACCTTCTCAACTAGCTCCTCAATTTCCTTTTCTTTTTCCTCAACATTGGTCCTTGAATCTATCTCAGCTTCAGCTGTTGATGCTGTAGTTTTAGCAGCCAATAACTCTTTAGTCTGCTCTTCCATTTTTGCCTTTTCAGCAATTAACATCTCTATCTCAGTGCGGTACTCCGTCATCATGATCTCTAACACCTCCAACTTTCGTAACAAATCAGATTTTTCTTCGGCCAACATAGTGCATTTATTAGTGACATCCTGAATTTCACTCATCTTAAATTCAATGTCCATTTTCTTTTCATTCTCCTCCTCAAGTGCTTGATAACATTGGTTTTTTTCTTCAAGATCTTTTGACATTCTCGACATTGAAACCTTTAAAGAAGAAACTTCTTTATTGGCAGCCTGTAGTTGATCTTCCAATTCAATGAAGGAATGTTCTTTGACAGACATACACCCCATATCATCTTTAACTCGACGAAGTTCGGCCACAAGCATTGATAGAGAGACTACCTGATCACGAACTGGCGATCCATTACCACTAGTCTGCTTACCTGCATTGTCCCTCCCAGGTATACCCTTGGTGCTGCTTTCAGAAGCAGGGATCCCAGTGGGTGGGAGAGTTGTGTCTGCAGTCACTATAGGGGCTACAGATGGGGCTGAAGTTGCAGAAGGCAAAGAACTTGTAGCTTCAGTATGTAACAGTCCACTTACATTATCAGTTGGCGTCACTGCACTAGATATCAAATCATTCTCATTTCTTTTTCCTTCCTCTAAGCTTTTATCTGTATTTGCCACATTAACATTTTTAGACAACTCATTTTTCTCTTCTGCCTTTATTTCTTCTATAACTACTACAGTGTCCACCGAGTCTTTGTTATCACTTTCCACAACTGACTTTATCTTTTCTAAATCACCTTTTTTCACAAGCACTGTATCACTAATTTCTCTCTGGACTAGTTCCTTCTCTTTACACTTCTCTTCTTTAACATTATCTTCACTTGCCTTTTCTGCTTCTACCTTCACTACAACTTCACCATCTTTGGGCTTAGATATGGCCACATCTGCTGAAGCTTCAGTAACAGAATCCAATGGTGGTTCTTCTGCCATTACTCCATCACGAAGTACATGTTCAGGCTGCTGCTGCTCACCAACCTCAGTAGGTCGATCTTCATTTGTTCCTCCAACACCATCCAAAAGATCAGCATCATTTACCTTTCTGTCAAAAATCTCCTCTTTCTCATTGCAGTTGCCTTCTATCATGACCAAAGATTTCTCCTTAGCATTTTTTCCACAATAATCTACTTTATGCTCATGACTACCAACTCTAGCACCCTCAATTGACACTTTTCCCTCCCCAACACCTACTGCATCAACATCATCATAACCACCATCACTACTGATATTGGGCTTCTCAACCTTCTCCTCATCATCAAAAAGGTTATTACTGGTTGTGCTCACTTGCAGTAAGTAATCACCAGCCTTGGCATCTAAAAGTGCAATATTCTTGTCTTTCTCTAAGATGTTATTCTCAAGAGCTTCCAGCTTTTCTTCAATCCTCTTCTTCTCTGCCTCATAGCTGTGGAACTTCCTCTCGCTAGCTGATGTACTATCTTCCTGAATTTGCTGCAGGAGGCGGTGACTGCTCCTGGTAAGCTGCTCAAACTCTTGGTGGAGTTTGTCGCGGTCAGCAGTTAGCATCAGCAAATGCTCCTGCACCTGCTGACACTCCAGCTCTATCTGCTTCTTGGAGTCGGAGTCTGCCATAGCTGGTGTGAAAGCAGGACCCTAAACTCTGATGCTTTTAACACTGTTGCTTCCTCCTCTCTGCTGCTTCGTGACTGCAGCAGTGCCCCTTAAACGCCAGTAGAATTACAACATGGAGCGCCACCTCGCACTTGGTGTGCCCACCACCCTCTCTACAGGAGTCTCCCTCGACTGTTGGAGCTTGAGGTTGCCGGGGCCAAGCCGCCTTAGAACCTGGCACTCCTCCAACACCAGCCACACTCACCTTACCCCAGAACCTAAATTTAGCATCAACCATGCTTAACGTTCTCTTCACAGCACAAACTTTGGCTCACTGCCATTAGATATGCTTCCACATACTGTATTTGAAAATTTACAATGATCATCTTTGTGAAAAACAATATTGTCACTATAAACCATGAGCCACTGGGTTAAGAGGAGGGTATCATGTACAAGAAGAAAAACTGCTTGACATTAGCATGGTCTCACCTGACACTCTGATTGGCACCTAGCTTCAGCCAGCTCCCTCTGCAAATTCTCCACTTGTTGCGCCAAGTGTCCAGTTCCTCCTGGAGGGAGAGTTGCTGCTTGTCGAGGTCGTCTTTCAGTGCAGCAATGGTGGCATCCCTGGTGGCGATGGCACGCTGGTGGCTACTCCTGGCTGCCTCCAACTGAGACTGCTGTGACTTGTTCAGCTCCAGGGAGGCACTCGCCAAATTTTCTTCATGCTGTTTTTGGAATCGGTCACGTTCACACCTGCCAACAGACAATTTGTATAGCAAAACAATGCACAAAAATAAAATAAAATATGCAACACTCTGACAACAGTCCTAACCATCAAATCTGCCAACAGCAATACAGAATTTATCTCAACCAAGATGTAATCAAAGAAAATGGGAAGAGACCTGGCACCAAGGTATTTCTCCCAACTCCACAAATAGTTGCAAGGACACAGTGCCAACAGCCAGAGATCTTCTCAACTGTTCTACCTGCCTTTGGTTGCTAGATATTTAATGTTAAATATCCACAAAACTGTCACACTAACCCAAGAACTGTATCATCAAATAACTCTACTCAAAGCTCACTCACAATTACTTTGATGAATAATTCATCCCTTTAATGGTCAAAGATATAAAATGTGGCTAATTCATACATCATGAGGGTTACCTCCTTGCACACTACCTCTTGCATATTCAGCAATAAAATGAATACCCAGACACTATCAGTGCTTACCAGTGGTAGAGCAACCCTTCAGTGGACTACCATCCTATGGGCTGGGGTAATAACCTGATAAACCCTTACAATGCAAATGATCTCTTTTATTTTTTCTATAACCAAATATAAATTAGTTTATGTCTGATAAAATTGCTGTTTCATTTAAGATATCCTTTACTATGATAACATAATCAATCTAATATATATCTAATTTAGATTGAGTTTGGTTAAATTGGGTTAGTTTTACAAAACCTAATAAATCTGAACAAAGTTATTTTATAAGATATTCTTATTAATTTCCTTATCTTAACTATTGCATACTGTGTTATGAATTTATGTGTGACAAGGACATGTATATAAAGACAGCTATTGACTCTGCTTCCTGAGAGACATTCAGTGAAATTGTTAATATTCTGTACTTCTCAAAGGACATAAGATATACATACTGTACATACAATATAATTTGCAACTTGTATATGCTCGCATGTTCTCATAAGATGGGACTCATACACATAAACACTCACGGTGCTTTTCCTGCATTGTCACTGAAAAAGTGATCTGCACTAACCTTGGTGATCCCTCAGCTGCCACTTGTAGTGACAGCTGGGGATCACAACTTACTACTGTACACGTGGAGAACATATCATTTAAAGTTAATGAGATAAATCTTTTTATTGTATAAATTGACTGTTGCTGTCTTTACTTTGTACAGTAGAAAATATTTGAGTTATTTAAACATTATTTAATCATTGTTGCAGGATATAAAATTTGTTAGGGCTCTTCAGGCTCAGGAACACAATCTATTTTTTCTCATAAGTTATTAATATCGATATACGATCGATCACTTAAAGATGGCTCTTCGAGGTCACTTAACCCGATCATATAATGGTCAACACCTGCACTATAACACCCCTATTTGATATTGGCAAACCATACCCCATTTATATGCAAAGAAAAATTATGATACCCTACAGTAATATTTCAAATCGTGCGGGCTAGCCACAGCTCTCATATTCCACTGTAAGGCCCACTTAACACAAGTGTAGTTTTCTGCACGGTTTAGAAATTAATGAAGCTCAATGGGACTGTTCACACGGAACATACACATGATAATTCACATGTGGGAGATGCTCACCCCACGCATGCACCTATACTTTCAAACTGCAGCATGAAAAAACATGCCGAGTGTTCTAGAATTCTGCAGATGGCAATGGTAAATGCTAGTTTAAATGTTTATTACACACACACACACACACACTCATGCACGCACCTATGCCTCCCCCACCTGGTCTTCCTCCCTAAATGCCACACAACGTAAACACCTAGAAAAAGTGCAAAAGAAGGGCATGCAAGATTATTCTCTCCTTCCTACTCCACATATCAAGCGCTCAACACACTGACCCTTTAGGCTCTCACTGACCATCACCACGACCTCATCTGCAAATTTGGTAAAGCTTCTACACCATCCTCGACACCGGCTCCTACTACCACCTGAGATCCCTAGCCGAGAATTGCTGTTCGACACCACAACCGCATCCAGCCCATACGTGCACGAACTGATCGCTATAAGAACAGCCCAGTCCCAACCATTGTAAAATTATCAATAACTTGTAATAAATATTCACTCCCAGTAAACACTACTCCTTGCACTGTCACTATGTTGAAATGAACTGTAGTTTGAGCTTTTCACCATCTAGTTATTATATATCTTATTTGTATCACTTATGTTACTTGTATATTATTTGTAATTTGAAACCCATTCCCCAAATATGTAACTGTATATTTTCAGCCTTCTGGCTGCCAAGCTCTTTCAATAAACCGTTAATTATTATTATTATTATTATTATTCACTCACTCACACAGTGTTCTTTTGTAGGTATTTTATTGCATTATATGGAATGTATCTGTATTGTATATCGAAAACTATGTTGCTATAAAATAAAAAAATAAGAAGAGCACAGGTGTGAATGTGTGAAGTGAATTTATACATGTGGGCTTAGCATGTCACCAAGTTAGACTGACTCTGTGGCTACATCCCCTTAGCTCTTCCCCTACCAGGTGTAATTAACTTACAAATTATCTAGGATGTTATAACATGATACTTGCAATCATTACAAGAGCTGGATGTTGATGCTGAGTGATACAACTGACTTGCATATAACAGTAGAGGTATGGGATTCACTTTTGGAATATCACCTGCCTGTTGTTCTTTCTAAGAGACTTTTTGACTCCATCCTGCATGATAATAAAAAGCCAGATGCTCCATTACAGTGTTGCTGAACTGTTCAGTTGTAACTGTAGAGGTTGTCAGTCTAGCTCTCCTTGTGCCCTATGCTAAAAGAAGGGTGCATGTCATATTACCTTTAAGAAGACCTAGTGCTACCTCCTCCCATTATCTAGCTGATGTCAAATGTACAAAGCACTTAGGATGAGTGGCAGATTATGAATGGATGATTAATCATGAAATTCCATTCCATGACAAAGCTAAGGCTCAGGTAGAGTCCTCAGCTACAGTCAATCATTCCAGTGGGTAATGTGGAAGTCATCTGGAACTGAACGGACTGACGACTGGAATCTTCTATGTGGCTGATCCACCTGACCACATATTGATGTGATGTAATAACTCATTGCCTTATACAATTAAAGAGTGATAATTGCCTTCAAAGAGTCTTTTCAGGAAGATGATTATGATGTGAAGCCATAATTAATGAATCAGTTGGTACGATCCACTTATGTCTAAGGGTTTACCTAAGCCCTAAGGTGTCCATGGTTTATTGCTATAATGCATGAGCAGCTAATTCAAGAATTTGTACAATAAAGGAGAGGGGATTTCAGGATTATCTTTCATTTAATATTGTACAGTACCTGACAACTGTGCATAATACAGAAATGATTGATCGCCCAACTGGCTAGAGAGCCAACCAATGGTAAAAAAAAATTGGTAAAATATAGTAAAGTAAACCAGCTGGAGAATAATATATCTCATTATTCAGGAGACCCAACCAAACATCACAGGTTCTCTCTGGGTGTGTACTTCGGTTTCATCCTGTACTAACTCTGAAGATAAAGGTCATAACACATTAACAAAAGGACAGATCAATTGAGGCACTCAGCATTAGAAGGGGGTGAAGCGACTTCCCTGCCAAAATGCATTTTTTGATGGATATCACTATTTTCACCCTTCCTCTACATGTTGGCATTGGATGTAACCCTCGAGCTAGAATAGAAATATGGTAGAAAGTCCTTCAAAAATAAGGTGTGATTTCGCCTCAGGCCTGGAGCTACGTATCTGGCTGTGCGCTCAGTCAGAAGGGCAACATCCAGTTCAGGAAGCGAGAGAGCCTGAGTCATACCCCTGAGGCAGCCAATCACAATGGTTCCCTCACCCAGATGCTGTCTCCTTGTTAGCTTTAGCGCGTTGTACAGTTTCAGTGTACTTTCTAATGCTATTTTTTTAACTTTTTCGGCGTAACATTGATGTTATTCGTGTTCCATGGGTGTGAGAAGTGCTGTGCAATATCTGCCCGATATTGAGCAAGACTCGAGTGAGGCCAGGCCTTCTGGTGTGGGTTCAGGAGCCTATTATTCCTGAGCGTGTGTTTAGTGACGACAGTGCTCACGTGGACACCCCAGGAATGCTTGGTGATAGTGATAGTGATTTTGGTATACTCATAATACAAAAATACTGTGTTCTGGTACAGAGTTACGTGACATGCACTGACGGCAATAATTACAATGAAAGTGAAGATGAAAATGATGAAAGTGAGTCTAATGGTAACACAAGCTGTAACACTTATGTATCACAACAAGAACATACAGTCTGTGAAGAGGTAGAAGTGGACAGTGACGAGACATGCACTGACCTTGATAGTGATTAAAGTGAGCCTGACCCAACAAATGCTAGTGAAAGTGAGCCCATAACTCAGTCTTATAATGAAACTGAACTGTTGTCGGCATCAATAATCAATGATTTAGTTAAAGAAGAATCTGTGTGGCGATTTTTAGAGAGTGCAGAGAAAGACTTTGATCAGTACGTGATTGATTATAACGAGGCCATTAAAGTTATACTGTACACACACCTCAGGAATTACGTAACTTCAAGATACTACGATCTTCATGGATAATAAAACGAAGGAACTAACAAAGTAAGATTGTAATACTATTATCATAATACAGTACTGTTTTTACCAAAGATTATGCAAACTTTTTCCGCCTTTGTACTTGTATGTTAATTACGTTGGGGGGGAGGGTGGAGGTTAATGGTGGAGGGGATGAGTGTGGTGGTGTTTCCTTATTAATACACATTGTTACACTTAACAATATAAATCTTTGGCTATATAGGGACGGAAAGATAAATACTGATAGGGGTTATGGGGGTGTAGGCAAGTGCTGTTTTGGTGATCATTAACTTGTTTCACAGTATTAACCCACAATAATAAGAAAAATTTTGCAGCAAACGCAATTATTGTTGGCTTGAAGATCAAACAACTGTACATCACGGGTAGTTTCTCATTCAACTCGCGATAAAATAACAACTATTCACTGTACTAACTTCCAGTTTTCTCAGTTAAGCTAGGAGGGATTGAGCTGCTGCGATAAACAAATAACCCTTTAGCTTAAAAAACAAAAAAAATTTTGGTTGTTTGAACTTTGAAAAACTTTAAACGCAGTTTTCTCAGCTTTTTGAATTTGCCGCTTCACCTCCTTCTAATGCGGAGCGCCTCAATTGCCCTAATGGACAGTAAGCTGATAAGTAATAAAATGATAAACAAAAAATATAAACAACAAGAAAATGTTTCTACAAAGTCTTCACTTTTCATTTACCATAAAAAAAATCTGCATCATCCTTTACAAAACAGGTTATGAGAGTGTTGATGTTCTTCATTATGCCTGATATAAGTACAGTACAGCAGATGTAATTTGAAATTATTGAAAAAAAGGGACATTGGCATCCTGATGAAAGTCTCCAATTTAAATTTGAAACTAAGTAAGCAAATTGTTGAAAAGATGATGGTTAAAAGACTCTCAATCAAAAGCCACAAGGTAGAAAATCATCAAACTGTCTTCATATGCTTCATAGCTCTGAGAAACCTTGTGAACAACCTCCATAAAAAATTCTAAGTCAAGAGAGCAAATACAGTATGTGGTTCAGAAGATAGTGGTCAGAAACCTGCTTACAAAGACAATCCAGAACAATCTGAAGAACCAGGTGATGGGTCTTCTACACAAGTTTAAAATTAATGGAACAGAAAATATTGATTGGAAACCTCTCATTAAAAAGCCTGGAAAGGGTGAAAGTTCTTGGACCAAGATTATATGCTTATTACAGCTGTGGAATGATAGAACTCTCAAGTCACCCAGACAATGATTTCGAAGATAATTTCCCTCACTTGGCTAGCAGCAGGAGACTAAAGAGGTTCCAAACTAACTTAACCAAGATCAATGATTTACTCTACTGGTACCATAGGGTAGGGTATTCAATTAATAAATCTGAACCACAGCAAGAAATTAAGCTAATGTGTCATAACAAGGATAATCAAACTCTATTATATAAGCAAAACAACTGCATAATGAAAACAGCAAGAATAGTTTACAGTAGCAAG